TATATATATATATATATATATATATATATATATATACACCGAAGGCCATTACATTGTGACCACCCTGCTAATAACATGTAGGATCACCTAAATGCTCACGAAAGATTAATATTTCCAATTGCCCGATAATATATCCAATTTAGCACATTAAAGTTGCTGGGGAAAAAACTATTTTGTGCTTCGATATGATCAAAATTTTTAACGTTCTTCTAATTCCAACAACAAAACAATAACAACCAAAACAACTAAATTAGAGTATTAAACAAAGTTAGTAACTACTACTTTATTACATTTGATAGTTAAAATTGCAATTGCAATTAGAAAATTGAAACTAAAGTGTCAATAAAAAAAAATTTGAATCATTGATTATTTTAACGATTTAATTAATCATTTTAACATGAAAACGAATAAATACAACATATTCATTGCACAACATCCACAAAAAGTTCCTTATTGTTTTATTTTTCATAACAACTTAGAGTTTGTTTTTTGAGGTATTTACTTTTTTTCCATCTATTTGTATTTGCTAATTATATCCAGAATTCCAAAGTAGCGTATTCACCTTTATTACTAGTCAATATTTTTAATGTAATGTTTTTGAAAAATAAATAGCTATTATTTTATATTTCAGGTTTTGCATGGTATTTTTCTGCTTGGTGCTAAGCGTATTTTCTACAATCGAAGAATTTGAAGAACTTGCTAGCGCTATTTTATTAAGAATGGTAAGTTTAATGTTTGTAGATTTTTAATATATTTTTTACCTTATTATTTTTTTCTTTCTCTTTTTCTCGTTAAAAATATTAAAAAATTTTTACAATGGTTGAATATCGAACGTATCAAATATACCAATATTTTTCCACTTAATCTTTGAAACAACATAATTCTTTGTGAAACTAATTTTTAATACTGTTACATTGTAAAAAAAGGATACTTAAATAACACGAAACTTTCGTCGTTTTTGACGAAACCGTTTCCTAGTATATACTCCGAGCAAAAATTTCGTCGAAATGAAGTGATGAAATAACTATCCCCGCATCTTCTGAAGGAAGAAAAATTTTAAATATGAGAAAATTTTAAAATTTTAAATTGAAGTTATATTTCGCCAAAAAATTTTAAAAAAAACCCGCGTAGTACCTAATGTATATAACATTTCTAATAATCATTTTTTCGTGGGCACCTTACAGTTGTCCCTCCAACAACTCAAAAGGGAGCCTGTTCTTGGTACGAGGCCAACTACATGACCACCATACAATTGGTCAGCTCATTTCATCACTTTATTTACTATTGAGGTTTTATTCTAGTTTTGTCATAGTTAACAATCTTCCACCATAACCTCTCAGTTGTCACAAATCACGTAATTTTGTGACAAAATGATTCTCAAAACTAACAAAATACAGCTCAAGGATCGACAAAAGTGAGAGTATAATAGAATGAGAAGGATGTAATAAATGATTTGTGGTAAAACAATTAGATAAAAGTATAATTTGTATTAAAACTTTTTAGCTTTGCTTCATTAAAAAGTCGAAAAGCACGAAGTAACTCTTAGTGAAACAGTAGTATTGAGATTTGTATTAAAACTCATTTTGGGCGCGATGCTATGTTTATGCTAAAAAGTTAGTAAATAGCTATCCTTACACAAAAATGTAAAATTGAACTTCGTCATAAATTCCCTCTCTAACGCTGAAAAAAAGGTAAGGAATAGGTTGTAGTAAACCTAGTATTGAGTAATAATTAGTAGTAAAACTCGCGTTCGCTGCTAAAAAACGAAACAGTTAGCAGCAATATAATGCTGCAAAATTATAATGTGTATAGTTATAATTTATAAATTAAAAATTATAATATCAGTATAGTAACTTAGTCCCTAACACATGAGAAGAGACTGAGTTAAAAAATAGATTGTATTAAGATATTAGCATAAAATAATATTTTCTCCAACGCTGCCGCGATAAAGCAAGAAAGTTTAAGAAAGTTTTAGATCTACGACAGAAATATAAAATCAATTCTCTCTAATACTGTTAAAAAGATAAAAAAATGGCTTATTGACTTTTGTTTTTTCTGCATTAGAGAAGTTTAGGAAGTATATTTTTGTAAACGTATATAGACATTATGTTTTATTTCATTGATTAGATACTTCATTATAAAGTTATGTGTTATTATAACAATTATATTAAAAATAGTTTTATTTTATTGTCGTCGAAGAAAGATATGTCTAAACTCTTTGAAATAAAACTGTCACATTTGACGATTCAGCAATCATTGAGCTATGTCTCGTTAATTTTGAGAATTATTTCGTCACATAACTCGAACTTCCAAATATATGACGAAAATCGCTTCAACTTAAAACAACATCGTTGTACTTACGGAAGATACACTCTATAACAAAAAAATCGACGCACCAAGAAGCAATCATCCGATTGCTTTGAAATTTCGCATGCATGAATGTTTTGAACAGATATGGCTGGAATGATGCCGACTGGGGACGTATAGTCTTTAGCGACGAATCCCGATTCCAACTGTGTCCTGACAATCATCGAAGGCGTGTTTGGAGACGCACAGGGCAGAGGTTGGAACCTGCCTTCACTATTGCACGGCACACCGGCCCTCAATAAGGCATTATGGTTTGGGGTGCCATTTCCTTTGATAGCCGGACCCCTTTGGTCGTCATGAGAGGTACACTTACTGCACAGCGGTACGTCGACGACATCCTAAGACCTGTTTTGCTACCGTTCCTTTTGCAGCGCCCTGGGCTGGTTTTTCAGCAGGACAATGCCAGACCACATACGGCACGTGTTGCTATGAACTGTCTGCAAGCTTGTCAAACTCTTCCTTGGCCTGCCAGATCACCAGATCTCTCTCCCATCGAGCATGTCTGGGATATGATGGGAAGGCGATTGCATCTGGCACGGAATGTTGATGACCTCGTTCGACAATTGGATCGAATTTGGCAGGAAATACCGCAAGAGACCATCCGAGAGCTTTATCGGTCTATGCCACGCCGTGTGGCAGTTTGTATCCAGACTAGAGGCGGGTCAACACCTTATTAGACTTGTTACTGTAACTCTGCAATAAATGATTCAATTGTTCTGAAATTTTAATCATTTACTATTCTGTACATTGTCTTCCTATCCACCAATTTTTGTTTCAATCGGACAATTCCTTCTTGGTGCGTCGATTTTTTTGTTATAGGGTGTAGTTAACTAGAATAACTAAACTAGAATGAAGACTAGACGATCCAATGTAAAGTGGGGAAGTATGCCGAACGGCTTATATGGTGGTCAAGGAAATGTCTCGTACCAAGAAGATCCCGGGTTCGAATGTAGCTTCGAGCATGGGTGTTAGTTTTTTTTTAATGTTCTATCTGACCCTCATGTATTGTTGAGATAACAGTGATCCACCGATATGGTACATACGATAAAGTGATTATTCGAAAAGTTAGTACATTAGGCATTATAAGATTATTTTTTGGGGGGAAGGTGAATTACATTAACGAAATATTTTTATTTTATTTTTAGTTTTGACAAAATTCATTTATTTATTTCTCCGAAGAATTGACAATAGTTATTTCATCACTTTGAGGAATGTTTAGCTCGGAGCATAAACAAGAAAACGGTTTCTTTAAAAATGAACAAAGTTTCTTGATACTTGAGTGTCTATTTTTTACAGTATACAGTGCCTCAAAATAAGAAGCGGACCACCTTTAATAAGGCTTGATCTAATGACCGGATCTTCGCGTTCTAGGACTCATACTTAATGTTTCAAAAGGGTGACTTCAAATATGCTAATTAATTAGTGCGACGATATTTTAAGTTACGAAATCAGACACAAAAGCATACTTTCTTTGAGTAAATATATCTTTTTTTAGGCTTATTTGGATTTCTGACTCTCAAAATAAAGGGGTCAGTTGCAATCTGGGAAATATGGTCCCCATAGTTTGGCTAAAAGAGAGTTAAAAATTTGGACCTCTTAATGTTAATTTTATTTTTTGCACATTTTGTCATATCTCGAGAACGTTTCAAACGAATTTAAACAATTTTGCACACAATTAGAAAATTCGTTTATCCAAACACAATTACTTGAAAAATTAGCTTTTAATAAATATTTATTATTTTATTTAAGAATAGTAAAAAGAAATTTTGAATTGTGAGGTATAAATATTTATACCATTTTAAGGTATGTAATTTTAGGTGCCAAAATACAAAATTTAAGCGAAAATTAAGCGAATTGCTCCTGAGTAATCAAATTTTAAATAAGGTGTATTTTTTAGTTTCGATTTCTCAGGAGCTATTCGACCAATTTTGCTCAAATTTCGTATTTTGACTTCAAAATGATGTTAAAAATTGTGTGTTTTATTTAATATTTTATTAATATTTATATTATAATTATTAATATTTTTCAACTATTATTTAATAAAACAATAAAAAATAATAAATAGCTACAAAATTTTATTTTTTGTATGGAATTATCTTTGGATAGGGAGGCTTTAAAATTTTGAGCAAAAAATTTTCAATTCACTTAAAAAGTTCTCGAGATATGGCAAAATACTCGAGAAATAAATTTAACATTAAAGGGAGCAAACTTTGGATAAATCTCCTGCCCTAACTATGGGGATTATATTTCCCAGCTTTCGGTAACCCACTATATTTTGGGGGTCAAAACTCCGAACCCATCGAAAAAAATGTATGTTTTCAGAGAAAGTACGTTCGTGTGTCTGATTTCGTTAAGTAAAATATCATCTACACTAATTAAACATCATATTCAAACACAAATACAAATTTCTATTAAATATTGAAAAATGGACGGTAAATTGACATTGAACATTAACTTCATAAACTCAAATTGGAAAAGCGCATAATGCAGCTATAACCAAATTTGTATTTATTAAATTATAAAAACACAAAATTACTTAATCTTGAAATAAAATATAATATGAAAAAAATACATAATATAAAAAAATATACAAACACACAATTATCTATTTTTTTATATTATATTTTATTTTATTTTTAAGTAATTTTGTGTTTTTATAACATCATATTTGAGGTCATCCCTTCGAATCATTAAGAACGTGTCAAGGAACGTGAAGATCCATTCATTAGATCGAGAGTAATTAAGGTGCGGTCTTTTTTTTATATTGCACACTGTACGCAGCAGATACGAGGCCATTGTATTCACAGAAATTGTTTTTTTCTTCTCAAACCAAACGTAATGATGAGGGAGCTTCATTATAAAATGCCGGACTTCAAAAAAAAAATATTTTCTACTTTTGACTGAAACTTACCCATATTCAAATTAGATTGAGAGGAAAGTTAACTAAGTCCGAATATAGATTGTTTTCAGCGGTTACTAATTTATAATCTGTTTCTAAAGATATCTATTACTTGAAAGTGCAAACTGAGAGAAAGTTACAAATTTGTTAAGCAGTTTTCCGACTTCAGCATGGGTTACTTTTATCAAAATCGAGAGCTCATGCTACCATATTTTTTGTTTTTAAACGATAATTGGGGTAAATTGGATAAAAATCATAATATTTTCCTTTTTTTTTCCCTAAGCTGCTACGTGAATAACATTTCTTTAATTTTTCCGTTGATAAATAAGCTCATTCGTACAAAAAATAAATAGTGTTTAATATTAAAAAAAAAAAAAATTTGAGGGAAAATTCAATCATTTTTGGATGTGCATTTACCCGTTTTATCCAATCTGTTCATATAAAACCGGTTACATATTGAAATAAAAAAAGTTTTTCCCATTTAAAGATTTATTTATAACATTAAACTAATATAATCTTTCTACTCAGAGAAATATACAGAATATAAGAATCAAGAAACATAAGTAATTTTGAATTGGATATATTAATAATTGTTAATAAATTACGTTAGTTTGATCACATTAAAAAACAAAAAGCACCAATAAAACTTGCCCTTCCAATAACTCTGCATTATTACTGGTCTCATGTTACCATACTTTAAAGTCGATGCATTTTATCCTACTTTCATAGAAAGTTGAATTGGCCTGCACTGAAAAAAATAATGAATAGAAATACGGAAAAAAGTATTAGCAATAGGCTGAGGGTAGCATTCGTAAAATCCATTTAATCAAAAATTCAATTTTCACCTCCAAATTTTGATACCATAATTTTTACATTAATATTTATTTAATTACAGTGATTCAGAGCAGTGGTGGCTCAGGGGAAAGAGCGTTTGCTTTCCAATGAGGTGAATTGGGTTCGAATCCCAGTGATGGCTGGTAGATATGAATTCCGCACCCGGATAGCACTGACCACAGAGCTGACTTAAAATATCCTTAAGTGGTAGACAGACCATGGCTAAGAGTCCCCTTACCATCAGTCTAACCATGGGAGGTTTTCATAGTTTTCCTATCCTTGTAACACAAATGTAAGTTAATTCCATCAAAAGGTTCTCTGCGAAAAATTTTCCCAATACTTGATCCAGGAGTTTCCTTGTTTTCTGGATTGAGTTCAAAATTAGAAGACTACAGAGTTGAACATTTGCAGTTGTAAACCCAAAAAATTGGATCCTCTGTTCAACAGCGGTTATAAATTAAAATAATATTACAGTTATTCAGAGACTTTACAGTAAATATTATTGTTTATAAAAATTGCAGTGCATTAGATTATTTGCACCTTAAACTTTTACGTTAATCTTTTACGATTTTATCCAACAACGCTATTTACCAGAAGAGTAGATTTTAAACGTGACCCAAAACCTGTTTTAATAATTTAAAATAATAACTGCAAGAGGTATTATCTGGTGTTGAATAGTCCAAAAACAAACATTAGGCAAATTTACTGATCCTGGTTTTGTCCAACCCTGTCCTGGCATTTTTTTAAGCAAAATATTTAATAATTGTCTATACAGTTCACATTTCAAATTTTTATGTATTTCTATTATCTAGTGAAACATTCAAAACAATGCAAAAATTAACTTGGAATATAAATAGGACAAATAAAGGGGGGGGGGACGTTTTATTACAGATTTAATTCCTTTCATAGTTTTTGTCTTCTCTAAATTTGAGACTCCTCATTTTGACATTTGTTTTTTCTTCTATTTTTTTCTTGCGAGGACTCTATAATGCATATTAAAAGCGAAGATTCCGAATGCTCTGTATATTATAATTCAAGTAAAGGAAATAATATGTTAGGGAGATTAAGAACCCTATTTTAGATTGTTCAAAAATGTCAATAAAATTTTCTATCAAAAGTCAAATTATTTTTCTGCTGCATACTTACACTAGACCCTATCGTGTTCTTAAACATAGAATATGGAGTATTTACAAAAAGCAACTTTGAACTAAGCTCTTCAATCATTATTTATCTCTATTTCTGAATTTCATAATATTGACTTTTATTTCAGGAAATTGTAATGGTAGTGTGGTTCACATTTGAGTTTTTTCTTCGTCTGTGGTCTGCTGGCTGTAGGTCCCGGTATCAGGGATGGGTCGGCAGACTCAGGTTTCTCAGAAGTCCATTTTGTGTTATTGGTGAGTATGTTTGAAGCTCATTTTGTAATTGAAATTTTTATGTATTTTTTAATTGCACTAAGTATATATATATTTCCTTATACAAACAATTTTGCAGTGAAAAATTATGGTACAGTTAGTAACATGTATCAAAAATCAGCTCATGAAATGTATATAAATATTAAAGAATGTGATTAAAATTGTGAACATTTCTTTAACATCGAAGGTATTTATAGAATTTTTAAATCACTTCGAAATATGACATATTATAGTAAATCAAAAACAATTCAGTAGTGCTTAAAAATATTCTTTCAGCAGTAGGAAAGCTTTAAAATTGTTTAAAAATTTACTATATTTATATTTTAAATTAACTACTTAAAAATTTTGCTACTAATGAAAAACGTAGGCTTAATATCAACGTAATTGTTATAAATTTCAGTTTTAATTGAATTCTGGTTGATAAAGGTATTCATTTTTTACACATTATATAACGACTAGGAGGCTTCGCCCCCTGCTCGCTAGCGCTCGCCAACCCCCGGAACTGTTTTCGCAGTTCATTTAGTATTGATTCGCAATCCGATGCTCGCTTTGCTCGCTCATTGGATACGTTCTTAACGTCTAGCTTTCGTATACTTTTTTGAACACTGAAGTTCCGAAAACTTTTCACTGTAGAAAACTCTAAACCTGTGCATTTCAATATTAATTTGAAATTGCAAACAGTTCACATATTTTTCTTAATCACATTATTCAAAATTTCAGTTGTTGAGAAAAGTAAATGTTGTAAGTTTTGCTTTAAAGTCTTACCCTCCAGAGGGCTAAAACCATGTGTTGTAAAACAATATGAAATAGTACTGAACGCCGGATGTAAAGCATCGGCTTCGATGAAGATAATTTTCTGAGATTTTTTTGATAATTCGGTGAGAATTCACCCGATTAGACATATGATGCTCACTACGTACTCTTGCTCGCCGAAGCCTATCAATTAAAACGTATTAGCGTTTTATATAATATAGATTAGCCATATGATGCTCACTACGTGCTCTTGCGCGCCGAAGCCTATCAATTAAAAATTAAAACTGTTGCCAAAGCGAGAAAAGAAATATCATCGGTTTTATTGATACATACGTATTAGCGTTTTATGTAATATAGATTTTTATCTCTGGACATTGTTGCAATTTTAATCATCTTAATCTTCTGCCGTTAATCAACGCTGCTGTTAATCTATATCGACCTTGACCTCTAGGAATCATTTCATATTCTGAAATTTCTAATGATTTAATTAATAATCTTTCTAGTATCCAGCTATTTCTGAATTTTTGAAAATCTATTCCAATTTAATTTCGACATCTTGTACCCTGAGATTTCCAACTAATACCAACAACTGTTTCTTATCTCCCTCCTTTTATTATCTTGTTTAAGCTTATTCCTTTTCCCCTACATGTTAAAACATTTTTTTCTTAATGTAAAAGGTTTGTCTCGTTACTTTTTTACAGTCATTTTGTGTTTGGACACTGGGATGATTCTTGTTTATAGAAGAAACAAACTATTGCTGTCTGTTTCTTTATTTTTATTTATGTTTAATTCCTTTATTTATATGTAGCACTAAGTATAACCTGTTAACCTTAATTAAATAAATTTATTAAATCCAGTTTCCTTTTTTTATTACTTTAACTAATCATATTGAGTGACGATTTTTGCTTGGTTATCGTGCCAAACTATCATCTTTATTTACCTTAGTTTAGCTAAATGTAAAAAGATCTCCCTTCTTCTATAGCATATCATAATAAAAACCGCGTATGAATATAAAATTTTAAAAAAATTCACTTTTCATCAGAAATGTTAAATTAACCAGTGGTACTAATGATATGGTTTAACTCTGATCTCTATTATTATCATCCTGAATCACAATATCCGGTACCTTAAACCACAATGTCCAATAATAATGATTCTTAACAGATATTTCTGAGAATGTATATTTGGATTCAATTTATATTCATAATAGTTAAGCCATGGAAAGATTTATACTAAGCTTAGAATTCTTTTTTTGTGATAAATGTTAATTTTATAATCTAGCAAAATATGCTAAATTTATATAATTCTATATATTTTACATTTGGTATAAAACAATAAAATTAATTTAGAGCAATATTTTTGCTGTTCAAAATTCGGGGAACTATTATGATTATCAAGTTTGGATTTGCAGGAACTCGATATCATTAATAAACTGTCCTTGATGGCTGGACTCCTTCCTTAAGTACCTCCAAATTCTTTGGTTAGAAGAATTATGTCGGAATTCCTAACGAACTTTACCTTATTGGAATGAAAGGATTACATCATTACTCATACTGATCTCACTAAACCAAAAAGCAAAGCCATTAATATTACTTTATTACTGTAATAAGAAAGAGAAACTACTGCATTAAAATTAAAATTGCGTTACAATGAATAAAAAGTATGTTACTTTTAAAACACTACAGCAGATTAATTTGAAAAGTTTGTGTTCAAAAATATCAATTAAAAATTATCATTTAAAACTCATGATAATATTATGCAATATTAAAAACATTAATTAACTTTTTTGTTTTTTTTTCCTCAGAATTGTTTTTAAATAAATGATTTACAATAACAATAATTCATAAAATGAAGATTTTTTTTAAAATTAATTAATGATATTTTTTAAAAAAATACAAATACTGATTAGTTTCGTTATTATGTATCTAAAATATATTAATACAAATTTTATAATTAAAATCAGTATGAGCAATTTTTGTGATAGCATTCCAATTATGAAGTAATGCGCAAATTTTTATTTTTTAAAGCATTATTTTAAATTATTTTTTAATTGCGAATGTTGCAATTTTTATGGTTATTTCAAAAAAATCTGAAACATTATTTCTATTGAAGCAAAGCTATTTTCGGAAAATGTGGTTGACTTATTACGCAAATGTCAGAGTAGACAATTTTTAAAAGTTAAAATAAAAAAGTTTGCGGCAAAATATTAAATATTTCTTTTTTTTTACTATTCCTATAGACTAACAAATAAATAACAATTTTTAAAAAATTACAAAAAAATTTAGTTTGAGAATACATTGGAAAATTTTTAAGACTAATTTGAAAAGAAAATAATAAAATTAATCATATATAACACAATTGAGACAAGTAAAAAGTTCAGAAATACTGATAGCTGTGTCATAGTGTGTATTTGACTTTAAGAAGCAGTAGCATTGACAAAATATGACCTGTTTCTAAAATGAGAATTGATTTAGATCAGCAAATCATTCATTAATTTGATTTTAAGGAAGCTGTACAGCTCATTACACTCTAACAAATTTCCACAAAATTTGAAATGTTGGCCATAAATTTTTGCAACTTTCACCCATCTTTGAGAACAAAGCCTAGTACACATAATTATAGAGAATCTCAGCAAAATTAGCATATTTGATTATTAATTTATCTAACCTGTTCCCCTCTTAGAGATAAAAGTGCAATGCCCATAATTGTGACGAATATCAGCAAAATTAGTAGAGACGTTATTTCACACGGTTATTTTATCAAGCATCCTAACTTAATTCGGGGAAGCACTCCCATTTCCACAATGATTATAGCATCAGACTACGGATAAAAATCCCAGTTTAAAGCCAAAACGTCACCAAAGAACACCTCTGTTGAAATCTCTCTACATCGGTAAACACGCACCTCTTCAACACATAGCAGCAGCAAACAATTTCGCCTCGTTTCGTGTTTTGCCTTGATTCAACAAAGAATTCACTTTGTCTCAAACAACATCAAGGCATGAGCTGAAGAAAAATTAAGTTACGGTCAGCATGAAAAACAATTTACGGTCAAATCAATATTTTTATGGCCATGATAGTTTTGCTGGCATATTTTTTTTTTACAGTCAGTGACTGGAACACATTTAGTAGGTCACTGACCGTAGTCTAGCCATGAAATGTTTTAGAGCCCATAGGTAAACCACATACAGCACCCTATGGGCAAGAGTATTAAAACTTGAAAAGAGTGAGATGTGTTCCAATAAAAAATGTTTCGTTAAAAATATAAATTAATCAATAATTGACCCCGTAGTACAATATATAGGTTTTTACGCTTTGTTTTCTTTTCCTAAGAAAAAAATTTGACTATTAACTTTTATAACCATTCCGTGACACGTTAATTCAGATGGGAATTGATTTAATTCTTTTAATCCCTCGTTCAGTTCCTAAGTCTTTATTTATTTTTTTGAAAGAAATAAACGAAATGAACATCATTAAGAATATTCTTAGCGGTTGCCACTGCAGTGATTATACGCTTTTAAAATTAAACTTAAACATTAAAAAAAAATGTGTGCGAAATAAATTAATGAAACACGATGAAAAATATCTAAAAATAACCTCTAGCAAATACATTAACAAAATTACTGAAATTAACGGGATCATATATGCATTTGCTGAAGTCGAAATTTTATTTCTATAATTTAAAGACTTTTAAAAAAAGATAAATGAGGTTGGGCATACTATGTAAGATTAAAAATGATAACACACGAAAGCACTGCACGCAACCCCTTCATTAATTCAAATAATAATTTCATAATAATAAATTTCCCAATACCAATGAAAAGTAAAGCTTTTTTTTTCCTTTATAATCATTTTTTTCCAGCTACTTGAAAAAGAAACATGTCATTTGATTTAATTTTATAAGCAATTCGTATAAAAGTTTTAGGTTTTGCATTAATCCTAATGTGTGTTTATATTTATACCGCGCACTAATAGCTGCATTTAAATGAGAGAAAATATAATTAAAATTTGTTGAAAAAATTATTTAAACTTAACGATTCACATGGCATTAGGTGTATTTACAACCTTAACATGTATTTTGAAAATCCATATCAAAAAAAGTATACACTTGGGAGGTCGAGGATTAATTTCTTGATTTCTAAGCGAAGAAAAAAAAAACACTGAAAAATTCTGACAAATCACGGTACAGAAGAGTATAATAAAAGTCAAAACAGGTTTAATTAGAGGTTGAAAATTAAAAATGTTTCCGACAATCGTCTTTCAACTCCTGTTTCCTCGCGCCTGCCATCAAACCTGCCTTGTTACTTATCGCAACCATCTATACTGTGATTTTTCAAACTTCGATAGCATTTTCATTTATTTCTTGATTAAATGTTTTTGCGACCCTCAATGTCTATACTTTTCGTTTTCATTTTTGATAAGCATTCGCAAAACACATAAGACACAAGTATATAAAGAGCCGCCTTTACGGAGCATCCTGTATAAACGGATATATTCAATACTTTATTTTATACTAAATAGTTAAACAGTGAGTCATATTTTCTTACCCAAAATTTTTATGTTATAATTATTACTTGTGTTGAATAGCAGACCCATATTTTGGTTTACGACTATCAACTTCATAACCTTGTAATTTTGAATTCAACCTAGAATACAAGGAAACTCCTCCACAAAGAACCGGAAAGAAGGGGACTAAGAACTTCTGGATTTAGCACTGGGACAAAGTAGCTTTATTGGAGGACATTTTGAAGATTTTCGTTACATGGAAAGGCAAAACTATGAAAACATTCCACGGTTAGTCCGAAGACAAGGGGATTCTAACCCATGATCTATTTACGACTAAGGATATTTTATCTCAGCACTGTGGTCGGTGCGAACGGGGAGCAGAATTCTTATTGACCAGTCATCACTGGGATTCGAATATGGGTTCCCTCATTGGGAAACTGACTGCAGATTTGATGTGAAAACATCCATTTTAAAAAAATCCCATGCAGCAGAAAAAAACAATTTGTTCTCCAGTGTAATTTGAGGCAGATTTATATATTAAGTTTAAGAACTATTTATAATGCTACTGTCAATAAATACTGAATGCACATAAATTCAATAATAAATCATTACACATATATTTAATGTGCTACTTTATGCTAGAAAGATGTGAAATAATGTATCATACTCTAAACTCTCCCTTTATACTAAAGATTTTCAAATTATAACAATAAATCTTCCTTATATCCTTGCAGACAAAGCTTTTCTACTTTTTCAACACTCTTGAAACAAAGTTTGTCTTAGAAATGTGTGAGCAAACATTATTCCTCTTTCATTACATTCGCTCTTTACTCAGAAGGTTAGGTTCTCTGGTTACAACCTAACCTTTTATTCCCTACATCATACAGTTTTCCCTTTTTTTCCCCTTTCATTGTTTCACTATTGATCTATTTCAGAGATGAAATATAGCAGAAATTCAAAAAGAGCGAAAATCGAATTACTTTCATTTTTTTGAGAAGATGAATAAGACTAAAGTACGAATACTGACAGAAAAGGAACACCTAAATTTTGAGTGTAAAATATTTGTCTAAGGCATTAATGGTGGTTAGAAAGGTTAAATATTTAATCTATAATAACACTCGAGCTATTTTGGGGTTTTGTAAAATGAATAAAAGTGTATTAAATTACTAATGTAAGAATTATACATTTTTACTCTTTCTATCTATTAATTATTTTTTCTCTTTATTTTTTTATTTTAAGAGGTATTGAATGTTATTAAATTAATATAAAATTGCTACAGTTGAAATTCTCACAGCATTAAAGCAAATGCTGCTAAGAACTTCACGATAATTTTAAGTAGGGATTGCACAATTTTGTTCGAATTAAGTTTAATTACTAATTTAATTGAATAATTTAACAGAACTTGCCATTATTTTTATGTTCATATTAAAACCAAAAAAGCGTGTTTTTTTCGCTTTTTAAAAAAATATGCATTTAATAAAGATCTTATCAAAAATATACCTTTAGATTTATATTGTTAACAAAAAAAATTTTATAGTGATGTAAAATATTGAAATATAAAGAAATTTTTTCAGAGAAACCAGAGTTAAAAGTAGTTCCTTTATGTAATTTTAAATCATGAAAAGATCATTATCGCTTTACTTTTACGTAAATTCTCATTTGACAGAAAAATCATGCAATATAGTCACTAATTAACAAAAGAGAACTTTGATATCTTTGACTCCAAATAGCATAAAATTAAATAAAGTTAGAAAAGAGTTTACTTGTAAATTATTTATCTGTTATTTAAATGTACAACATTAAATGTTAATTTACAACATGTACTAAACATGTAACCATCAAACATGTAAACATTATTAACATTACGGTATCATAACAGAGCAAAATGCCGACCGGCCTCTGTAGGGGGCAGGGAACTGTCCTTGCATCAGGAAGGTCCTGGGTTCGAATCCCGGGCAAGGCATGGATCTTTCTTTCTCTCTGTGTGTGTTCTATGTCTTTTCTCCTTTGTGTGTGAATGTGACCCACCCTATAAACGGGTTGTGGTAGTGTGAATGGCACGGCAGAAGTCGAATTCCTGACCATAGATGGCGCCACTGAAAAACAGGCACCTCCACTGCCTAAACAGGCAAACGGAAAAAAAAGAAAAAAAACAGAGTAAAATGATTAAATTTAAATTTTATCCCAATCGAAAGGGGACTTAATCAGTAGAATGAAAAAATCAATATTTATGCAATAAAAAATGCTGTAATACATTAATTGACTATATTTTTACTTATATGCAACAGCCTGTTCATCTTCATTAAGCGAAAAAATCAAAATTTATGATAATCGTGGGGGTTGGTCTGATTTGGAAAACCCTAGTCAGAAAGTAAATATTTAAAAAATATTTACTGCAAACCTGAAAACTACAAAATCAATCAACTTACAAATAAGTATTTAGTTGCTTTCATTATTTTACAAAAAAAATATATTAAATGTATAGTACGCAAAAAAAAGAACCACCTTGAATAATTTTTTATTTAATATGATCGGATCTTTACGCTTTAAAACTCAATCTTAATTATTTAAGGGACGACCTAATATATACTAATTAATTAGTGTCGATGATATTTTAAGTTATTAAATCAGACATAATTCAGATTTCTGATCCCTAAAATATATGAGATAACAGCAATCTGGGAAATATTGTCTAAATAGTTTGGACAGGAGAACGGTCCAAAGTTCGGTCCCCTTAATGTTAATTTCACTTGTGTCTGATCTTGTAACTTAAAATATCGTTTGCACTAATTAATTAGCTTATTTGAGACCAACCCGTCAAACCATTGGAGTTGAGTTCTAGAACGTGAAGATCCAATCATTAAATGACAAAATTAAAATTTATTTAGAGTGGTCTGTTATTTCTATTTTTTTGTTTGCACTTTGTACTAGTTACCATTGACTAGTATTAAATAGTAATATGAATAAAGATTTCTTTCATTGAAAATGTATCGAAAAAAACTTTTTTTTGACATTTGATTGATGTAACATTTATAAATATGTATGTATGTTTCAGATGTAATCGTGATTGTGGCGTCTGTTGTGGTATTGTCTGTTGGAAGCAGTGGACAGGTGTTCGCGGCCTCCGCCCTTCGGGGACTACGATTCTTTCAAATCCTGCGCATGGTTCGCATGGACAGGAGGGGCGGCACTTGGAAACTCTTAGGATCCGTCGTCTATGCGCACAGACAGGTAAAAAAATAAATGTCACACATTATTTTATTCCATTTGATATTCAAACGGAAATTGGTATGGGGATATGAATATGAAACTTTTAAACACTGTATGCACATTGAATACAGTATGAAAAATCATAAAAATAAGAAATACATAACGCGTTTTGCATTGCCTCACCTATGTAAGAAATGTGTTTTTGCAAATTTCAAATGGCATTTTTTCTTAACAAATTCTTATGTACAGTCACGTTCGCTTCGTCTCTTATTACAACGGATTTAACTAAAAACGTAATAGTATATGGTGTACCGAAATAGTCATTCTCAAAATATGTTTTCTGAATCCTTGTCAAAAAGGTACTCATTAGAATGCAAATTAATATTTAAGAGTTGATGAAATGAAAAAAAAAACAATTAATGAAATTTGACGTGCTTTTCATTAAAGAGGTAGAGAAAATTAGAAACATACACCTAACAATGTTTTTTTAACAATTAAAAAAACTTTTTAACATTATAAAGCAAAGCATTATAAAGGCGTAAGATACGATTACTAGATAGATATTCAAGTTTTTTTCAGACCAACTTATTTTTTTAATCCTGCCTTCCTTAATGGTGATTCACCAAATTCAAAAAAAAAAAAAGAAATTTAGTTTCAAAGCGGTATCCATATGCAGTATTTACCTGCGAACCTTAATATTCCTATAATTTTTAATACATTCATGACGAGCATTCTGAAACTATAAATTAATAGTAACGGAACAAATTTAAAGCAACCTTAATATAGGGTGCTAAGTTACTATGGTTCTTAAACTTGACTATACAATATTATGGTTCAACTTGGACGGAAATAAGATTAAGTTTAATACATATTAAAGTATGAGCAAATTTATTCCAAAGATTCGATTAGGATCCTACGATTTCAAAGCTGGAAAGAGTACAAACACGGTTAGGCATTTGCTGAGCGGAGAGCGGAGATCAGGAGATTACAACTTCCATCTGCCCTTCGAGCTAAATTATGCTAGTGCTGTACACGCGATTCGTAGAATTGTCTTTGAATCATAAGTATGAATTCCAGACCGTTGCCAATAGTCAATCATTGTACATCTAATGCGACGTCATAACCAAGCAAAACTTACATTTAAATATTCCAATCCTGACTTTGAAACATAAAAAACTTAATTCAAATTCTTTAGGACTGAAAGATACTTACTTGTATTTCAAACTATTAGTTTTGATAATTGCAAATATTTATATAATTATTAATACTATCACTCTATTCATTTTATTTTTCCAAAAATTATTTTATTTTGGCCATTAAAAGTCAAATACCGCCATAAACATTAAATATTTTATTCCTACATTGCTAAGGTAAATGCTTTTCTAAATGCTGCGAACGACCCGTTAGTGTAGCTTAAAACCGCCCGTTAGTGTAATTAAAAAAAGCCCGTTAGTGTAGCTGAAAATAGTCCTTTAATGTAGCTTAAAACTGCCCGTTAGTGTAGTTTTGAACACCCTGTTAGTGAGGCTGAAAACTGCCCATTAGTGTGATTAAAAACAGCCCGTTTATGTAGCTGAAAAAAGCTCGTTGAGTGTAGCTGTAAACAGTCCTTTAATGCAGATTAAAACAGTCCGTTAGTGTACCTGAGAACATCCTGTTAGTATAGCTGAGAACCGCACATTAGTGTGATNATATTTATATAATTATCAATACTATCACTCTATTCATTTTATTTTTCCAAAAATTATTTTATAATGGCCATTAAAAGTCAATTACCGCCATAAACATTAAATATTTTATTCCTACATTGCTAAGGTAAATGCTTTTCTAAATGCTGTGAACGACCCGTTAGTGTAGCTTAAAACCGTCCGTTAGTGTAATTAAAAAAAGCCCGTTAGTGTAGCTGAAAATAGTCCTTTAATGTAGCTTAAAACTGCCCGTTAGTGTAGCTTAAAACTGCCCGTTAGTGTAGCTTTGAACACCCAGTTAGTGAAATTGAAAACCGCCCAATAGTGTGATTAAAAACAGCCCGTTTATGTAGCTGAAAAAAACTCGTTGACTGTAGCTGAAAACAGTCCTTTAATGTATCTTAAAACAGCCAGTTAGTGTAGCTGAGAACATCCCGTTAGTATAGCTGAAAACAGTCCGTTTGGTAAAACTGTAGAGCGAAGGTAGCAGCATAACCGAAATATATAGAATATATTTGGTCTTGAATAGCAATCGCCATTTAAAAAGAAAACATTATTCTGACATTGTATAAATAACTATGATACAGAATCGATAAAAAATTATGGATAAATAATTAAGAAACATTTTAATTCATTTTTAACAAATATTGCGAGAATAAATAAATCATTAACATAAGAATTTAGATTCAATTAACAAAAATAAAAAGTGATTGAAGTCTAATTAGACACATTTGAATCAAAATACTTTTAATAAAATCGCTCATAATATTTCCAAGAATATTAATTTATTTTAATGAAACAATTCTTAACATAAAATTTTCAGCGTCATACATTAATTTTTAGGCCTAATGTTCTCTTCCTTACTTTTCAGGAACTCATTACCACTTTGTATATTGGTTTTCTTGGTCTCATTTTCTCTTCGTTCCTCGTTTTCTTAGCAGAAAAAGATACTAATTCTGAACATTTCAGTAACTTTGCAGACGCTCTTTGGTGGGGAGTGGTAAGTAAAGTTTTTACTAAATCTAAAGGACATAAGTACAATTATGATTCAATATTGCGTTTCAATTTTAATAATGAAACTCGTTGCAGCAAGCTAGATTATTTATAAGAATCACACATCGATGATCTTTCATAAAATACAAGCCATCGTTATTCTTAGTAGATTTATTATTCGTTCTCTAAAACTACTATAAAATGTTTTACTTCCTGGAAATGAAACTGGTAATCTCTTTATTATTTCTGTAAATGTTTGAAATTTTAATAAAATTTAGTTTTTTTCATTAAAATTGCTAAACATGTACAGAGAGCAAAATAAAAAATGGACAACCCAGAATAACTTTTGAACTAATGATCGGATTCTCACAATCTTGGACTCAATCTTAATGGCTCAAAGGGGTGACTTCAAGTATGCAAATTAATGACTTTAGACGATATTTTAAGTTATGAAATCAGACTTAAAAACGTACTTTCCCTTAATAAACAAGTCTTTTCTCGACGGATTTGGATTTCTGACCAGAAAAATATAAAGGGTAGCTACAATCCGGGAAAGATGGTCTCAATAGTTAGGTCAAAAGAACGCTCCAAAGTTTGGACTCCTTAATGTTAATTCTACTTTTTGCGTATTTCACCATATCTCCATAAATATTGAAGCGAACTAAAAAAAATTTGCACGCATTCATAAAATTTTTTTAACCAAAGGTAATTTCATGCAAAAAATAAATTTTAGTAAATATATATTATCTTATTAAAGAATAGTGGGAAAACTTTGAATTGTAAGGTAAATTAAAAGGTAATAAAAATGTTTTTCTTCTTTTTAAAGTATTCAATTTTACATGGTGAAATGCAAAATTTGAGCGTAATCGGTCGAATTGTTCCTGCGAAATAAAATTTTTAAAATACGACTTTTTCAAAATTTGATTTCTCAGAAACTGTTCAACTGATTTCGCTCAAATGTTGTATTTTTTTAGGTAAAAGTACATTCTTTAAAATGATGTAAAAATTTGTATACGTTACCATTAAATTTTTTTTTACTATTGAATAAAATAATAAAAATTAATAAATGCACACTAAAATTTATTTTCTGCATGGAGTTATTTTTGTCTAAATGAATTCTTTTAATTGCATACAAAAAAATTTCAGTGAGCTTCAAACATTATCGAGATATGGCGAAATACGCAAAAAGTAGAATTAACATTAAGGGATCCAAACTTCGGACAGCTCTCTTAACCAAACTACTGGGACCATAGTTTTCAGATTGTGGCAACCCCCTATATTTTGGGGGTCAGAAATCCGAATCCGTCGAAATCAGAGCAAGTACGTTTTTGTGTCTGATTTTGTAACTTAAAATATCGTCTGTACTAATTAATAGCATATTTGAGGTCACCTTCTCAAACCATAAAGATTGAATTCTAGAATGTGATCATTATATCTAAAGATATATAGGGTGGTTCATTTTTTATTTGCCTCACTGTACTTACCCAAGATATAAAGGATTGTTTTGATTGACTAAATTTTTTTTACTAGTTAAATTTATAAACCAATTCAATCATTTCGTGTCTCCACAATGATAACATTACTATGCGTGGGTCATAATCCCTCACGAACTCGCCGCTTTGCTACTCCCTATTGACAAATTGCTGACTATGGATTGAAGAATATAATAATCATTATTTCATTTGAAATATTTACTGAAATACAAAAATGAGCTGAAAAATAAGATTATTGCAGCAAAATGATCAAAAGTATTGCAAATCAAAACTTGAGAAAGTCGTACACCAAGTCACCGCTTAGTGATAACCCTGTTATTATTTTTAGCCGTGATAAAACCATTACACAATGAATGCAATATACTTAAAAAGCTATCAATCGTGTCTCAATACCGTAGTTAATAATAAACTGTTCCACTTCCATTGACTCTTCATTCTGCATATCCACATCAATCCTGGTGCCTTTCGTCATCGTTGCTTAAAAGGCTTCTGTGCTTGATTTTTCTGTTTAGTCATTTTGTAACTCCCTATTCATCAATCACGAACCGTTAATTAAAAATATGCGTGATTGCCCATTTTATTTAGAATAACTTCTGAAGCAAGCAAGGTAATATCTAAAAGCAATGAAAAATAGTTTAAATTGAAAATAAATTTATATGTCTGAAATTCCCTTTATAGTGTGCCAAACTGTTTTCCTTCAGATTGCTCAGCATTTTAAGTATTAAAAAAATTTTTGAATTAGAATAGCTATTACATTTCTTTTTTAGACTAAGATCGGTATTGCTCTTTAAATTAAAAATTTTAGTTGCGCTTTCAATATGCTTATAAATACACTAATTGCAAATAAAAACTATTTTTTGCCTATAAAAAAATTCTTGAATTTCGCATTTTGGATTGTTTTTTTCTCTGCAATCTGACATTTAATTATCAGTATTTTGAAAAAAATAAATAAATAAACCAAATTTTAATCAAATTTTAAAAAATTTCTCTTCAGGAGGAGGTAACAATATCACCAGTATCAATTAAAGTATTTTTAGCAATACTACGTTTAGATTTAGCAAAGAGATTAAAAAGAAAAAGAACAACTGCCAAGGAACAGTTTTCAAGATTATTAACAAAACACTTTAAAAGGAGAAAAATCAGCTTTTGGCGACTCTCATAAACTTCATCTGATAATTTTGTTTTTCGAGAAGTGTATTTGCTGGTATTCAATAATGTGGGCGGTGGAATGTCGATAAAATTGCCCTCGGGATGATTGCTCAAATATTTCTTTTATTACGTGAGTAATAAGGTTTGAAAATGTTGACTTGAGTGATGTAGAGCATGTCACCTTACATCTTGCATAATTATAAAATTAATTTTTTTATATATTATGCTAAAGTAATTTGTTATTTGTGAGTAAAATATTGGCAATTTGTTTTAAATGTATACTACAAATTTTTGTGTAAAATATGTGTGTTCTATTTGACCTTTTTGTTTAAAATACTGTTTATAAAAATAATTAGTTATATTTTTTTAAATTTTTTAAAAAAATAATCTCGTTTGAGTAATTTTGTCTGAAAAATACAGGGTTGTAAAAATTTTCGGATTAAACTACGGGGAAAAGTACGAGCACTTAGGGTGCAGGTACTTTTTGCAGTAAAATTAATTTTTCCGAAACATGTTATGGAAAAAAATCTGATGCACCGTAATATTTACAGTAATAATTACGGTAAAATTACTGTATTACTCTAATTAAATAAATATTGCTGTAAAATTTACGATCTAATATTTTACGCTAACAATAGATTCTGTGGATGATATAAACAAAGTGCTGGTGTTTTACACCGTAATTTGATTCGGAACTTTTTACAATATGAGCGAAAAACATTTTTTTTAAAAATTAAATAATAAATATTCAATTAGGATTTCTTCTTACATGATTCGATATGAAATGTGTAAAATAGTATATCTAAAAGTTTACGTTGAATTAAGTACAATTGAAAAATGGACATCATAAATTATAATGCTCTTGTATTAGACGTGTTCGTAAATTTAAAACAGCTCTTTATAACAAATGCTTTTGAATAATTCAAATTGAACTGCTTGTTTTAGAATATCTATATTACATTAATGAATGAACAGTAAAAATACTCACCTTAATACAAATACTTCCTACATAATAAAAAATATATGAACAGATTCCATAACTTCCATTGAGAACTACAAGTTGAGAGGACTTCATTTAGTGCCCTTGTCTTTTACAATGACATCTCAGTATCTAATTCATTGTGACATCACAATTTCCCTATGTAATAAAAATGAGTTTATAATCTGTAATCATTGCGTTTCTCTGATATAAAAACCCCTAATTTTGATGAGCCTTGAATGCTTTTTGCGGAAATATTTTGTAAGTAACTTTTTAAATACAACATAACTTCCATTGAAAATTTGCATACCAAAGTAATTTTCGTTTTAAATGCTATAGATAATTACAATTTGTTAAGCTTTGACAAAATCCATAGATATTTAATTTTCGTAAATTTTTATTAGAGCTATAATACAGGAATATTCTGCTGTTAAATTCTTACGATAAAAACAATATTTGTTAACGTTAAAATAGGAGGCCATTTCTTTTTATTTATTTTTTTTTTCTAATATTTCCCTATAATGTAAGTCAAGAAATCTAAAACAAATTAAATAAAATATTAAAAGAAATAAAAATGAGTGTGACGAATTGATTATTCTTACGTGGAACTCTCGGAATTAATTGAATTAGCATAATTAACATGTTCTTTGTTTACACTCTGTGAAGACGAAATGTTATGTAAATTCGTTAGCAAGTAATTACGATGCTTAGTTTGAATAATAAAAGATACCTAATGCTAATGCGAAGAGGAAATTAAATTTACGAGATCAAAAGTTATTTGAAGATTTTTTTTGTATATAGGCTATATTTTGGCTTAATCTGAAGCAGAAGAAAACATTTTGACAGCTTTTCGCCGCCCAAGAATTGTTAATTTGCTGCCCTAGACAGATGTAATCATGAATATTAATTAAGAAATATTGTTACAAAAATCAATTTTTTAAACAAGCTGACTGTCAGTTCCTGGAGGTTTATTATTGAAGAAATATTGAATAAATTATCTATAGGAAAATTAAAATTATAAAAAAATGATACATTGAATAAATTCGTGAATTTTCTCACTTCATCTTTTATAAAAATTCACTCAATCTTTTCCAATAACTATTGCACAAATAATAAATAAAATGTATTAAAAAAGTAAATAAAATGTATTAAAAGATGTCATGTTACTATTTGACAAATAACAAATAAAATGTATTGAAAAGGTAAGAAAAATTTTTTTTATTTCATGAAATATCTTTTATTTTGTTAATTTCTGAAATTTGTAATAATAAAATACATTGATGTTTGATTTTAATGTCTAAATCTCCGATTAAATCAATTTATTAAATATATTGAATTACAGAAAATGTAATATCTCTTTTACTTCAGATGACTTACTCTATTTCAAAAATCTAACGAGTTGCAAACCACACACAGAGCAACAAAAAAAAACGAACATATTTGATTAACGTTTGATCAAATGATTGGATTTTTATGTGCAAATGAAAATCCACTCATTAATCAAACCAAACTAAAATTAATAAAATTACTACCAAAAATTAAAAAACCTAAAATTAGAAGATATTCTCTTATTTTTGTATGCATTAAGGTTGATTTTGCAATTGCTACGAGTTATCTAAATGTTGCAATGTTTAAGAATTATGATAATGGTTCAATTAACTTTAAATCTGCTAAATAATTTAAGCGTACAATATTTTAAATTACAAAATAAGACACAAAAACGTACTTTTTCGCATTTACATATTTTTTCCTCTGAAAGCACTGATGAGAATCGAAATCTAAGCATACTTTCATTACTTAAATCAGGAGAATATTCGGAAGTTCAAACAGCCCTTTAATTTTTATTTTACCTATAACATTTTGCCCTTAATTGTAGAAATATTTATTCAAATTAAAAAGAAAAATTGACGCAACAACAAACCTGTGTGTCCAAAGATGATAAATAGAAAGAACATTAATAAACATAAACAATTACTGATTATTTTAGTGCTTAAAGTAATGATGAAAAATTGACAAAACTACAGAACTTGATTATCCAAAGAAAATTTCGTACCAAAAAATACTTTTTATTTGTGGATTACTTAATTACCTAAAGTAATAATGAAACATTAACAAAACTACAAAACTTGTTTTTCAAAGATGATTCTACGCAAAAAAATACTTTCAATTATTGATTGTTTTAGTGTTTAAAGTAGTGTTGAAAAATTGTCAACTACAAGACTTGTTTATCCAAAGATGATTTCCTACAAAAATTATTTTTCAATAATTGATGGCGTTTTAGTAATTAAAGTAATAATGGAAAATTTTCGAAGCCTGTTTATACAAAGATAAATTCATACAAAAATATTTTTCAATTATTGATAGACTTTGTTCTCAAAGTAGTGATGGAAAATTTTTTAGCTTGTAATGTTTACAAAAATGTACCATTTATTATAATCTTGGTATTTTTAAACCTCAATTTTAATGGAATAAGACAAATAGTTTACGAGAGCAATAAAACTTTGAACGTTCGATGTTTCCGAGATATTATGGTCTAAAACGTCCCATCAATTAAGTTCAAGTTTTGGATTTTTTCACTTGAAATTTCATAGAAAATATAGTAAAATTCTTTATACCTTAAAATTCAAACACATATCTATCATTATTAATTTAAAGAATAAAATAAAATAAATAAGTATAACGAATATTTATTGTATTGAATTATCTTTCAGTTAACGAGTTTGTAAATTTGTATACAAATTTTATTCGCTTTAATTCTATATATAATACTCAAAAAATTAAATTAATATGAATATGATAAGTTAAAAAATTAAATCAATATGAATATTGACCCTTCTTTCAACCAAACTGTTATTATCAAATTTTATAAATTACAGCCCCCATATTTTGATGATCATAAATCAGAATACACTGAAATAAATCTTTGTTTATTCAGAGAAAGTGCGTTTTGCGTCTAGTTTTAAACTTAGAACATTTCAAGCACTGAGTAATCATCAATTTTAAGGTCTATCCCTTGTAGAATTAAAATTCTATGTTAATTCAAAAAAATTCGATTATTCGATCAAAAGTGAACCAGGTAATAATTCTTTTACACACATCAAGTGCAATAAATAAATGTTGTGTAACACAGTAGTTTAAATTTTTGAATCAAGCCTCTTTAAAAATCACTTTCATTGTAATATTAGTCTTGCTCTTCTTATTTTAAGCTCCGCTTTATTTCATTTTGTTGGAAAAAAATTACCCGTGATCAAATCGAACAAAAGACTAATTAACAATGTTTGACATTTAAATTGTTCTTTTTCAGATAACTTTGTGCACAGTAGGCTATGGAGATACAGTGCCTATCACGTGGCCTGGGAAATTGATAGCTGCTTTCTGCGCCTTACTTGGCATCTCCTTTTTCGCTCTACCTGCCGTAAGTAGCAATTTAACTAATTATCATTAAGACAGTTAACTAAAGATAAGGAATAACCTAGAAATAAAACTGCTCTTATCCTAGAGGAGGAAGTGATGGTTATGTGAATTTAACCAAAGGGAAAAGTGAAGCGAATGCATGGGAGTCTTAATTAGACAGATGCTTTGAAATATGTATAAAAAAAAAAGCAAATTTAGTTATTATAGCAAATTTATGTGATGAGGCACATATTTTTTTTCAGACTTTTCTTTTCAGTTTTAAAGTCTTACAATAGATGGCACTGCATGGTAATCGTGCAAATTGAGGGGAAAACTGAAAATTACATCACGATTATTTAAATCTTTAAATGAAGGAAAATCACATTATGACATTTTTGAATTTTCCATGATCAGCTATAATAACATGTCGACATTTTAGAACGAATTTATTTAACACCGCAAAGCTAGTATAAGAACTGTGGAAAAAAAACTTCAAGTGACACATTTCGGAAAATTTTCGAACTGAAACCGGGAATTTTGAGGAAAATCAATCACTTGAAAGGCTTGAATCAATTACTTAAATTTGAATTAATTCATTTGAATCTCCCCATGTTCCTATAACAAATTATACCTCTGGGGTATGACAAATCATACCAGGAGTTTCTTTGTCTTCTGGAATGGTTCAAAATTGCAAGGCTACGGAGTTAAACATTAGTAGTCGTAAACCCAAAATTGGGTCGGCTGTTCAATAACGGTTATAAGAAAATAATAATAAAATTCATCGATATTGAGCTGCGATTTCTCAGGAAATAAAGAGTTCGCCTTGCAATGAGGTGAACCGGGTACGAATCCCAGCGATGGCTAATCGGTACGAATCCGAATCCTGCTTGCACTGACCCCAGTGCTGACGCGAAATATCATCAGTGGTAGACGGATCATGAGTTAGAGTCCCTTTGCCGTCAGGCTAGCCGTGGAGGGTTCTCGTGGTCTTCCTCTCCATGTAACGCAAAGACGGGTTATTTAAATCAAAAAAGTCCTCCATAAGGACAAATTTCAAACAATACTTGATAAAGGAGTTCCTTTGTTTTCTGGATTGGGTTTAAAATTTCAAGGCTACTGAGTTGAATATTAGTAGTCGTAAACTCGAAAATTGGGTCAGCTGTTCAACGATGCTGGTTATAAAATAAAATAAAATTCATCGATATTAGTCTTCAGCGGTAGCAAATTTCTCCCAATACAGGAGTCCCCTTGCCTTCTGTGTATTGAATTAAAAATCGCAAGACTACAATATTGAACCATGATAGTCGTAAACCCGAAATTGGGTCGGCTGTTCAATGACAATTATAAAATAAAATTATTAAATTAATCGATATTCCGAAAAGTAGATCGGCTGTTCAAAGGTTATAAAATAAAATTCATAGACATGGGCTGTGGTGGTTCAGAGGATAGAGTGTTCTCCTTCCAATGTTGAAAACCGGGTTCAGCTCCCAGCGATGACTGGTCGATACGAATTCCGCATCCGGCTCGCACCGACCACTGTGCTGACATAAAATATCATCAGTGTTTGACGGATCAAGGGTAAGAGTCCCCTTGCTTTCAGGATTACCGTTTCAGGTTTTCGTGGTTTTCATCACCATCTAACGCAAATGCTGGTTAATTCTATCAAAAAGTCCAGAACAAAGCCAAAATTTCTCCCCAATACTTGATCCTAAGGGAACAAAAGTACAAGGCTAGTGAGTTGAGCAATAATAATCGTAAATCCAAAACTAGGTAGTCTGTTCAATGACGTTTATAATAAAAAATTTATAGATATAAATGAATTGTTATTGCTGCATAAAAAATCAGCGAATTAATTATTATAAATTAATGAGTTACAGAGATTCTGTTTTTCGCATATTTATCTAACACACTTTTCTGGGATGAGATTTTTTATAAAATTTAATCATATTTTTTAAAAATCCAAGTTAAAATATGATTGAAAATAATACTCAAAAATATTTTTTTAAGAAACTCTATTCATTACTTATTTTAAGTTAAGCGAAAAAATCTGTATTTTAATAATCTAACGCAATTTTTAGACATTATTTTTAATAAAATGGGATGATAAATTTCAATTAACTTAAAAAAAATTTAAAGTTAGTTTTTGTTGTCAATTTCTTAGGGCAATGTATGTTTTAAAAAATAATCCCGATAAAGAATTCAGAAAAGTTTTTGCTCTCATCTTAATGGATTAATAAAATTAAGCTAAAACTCATTTACTTCTTTCAAGTGCCTTAAAAGCACAAATAAACTAATAAATTTGATTTTATAGATTCGGTAGTTTTGTGTAATCGAATTATTAGATTACTCAAAAACACCATCTCAAAATAAATTTAAAAAACAAGAACGATCTTGTAAAATTTGGACTTTTTTAATTATACAATAACTTGGGATGTTGGCGGAACAAAATGATTGATTAAGTAATGTAGAAAAAGGCAAAGCAATTCAAGTATTTCTAAATCTTACACGTGTTTTTCATATAGGTGTCATATACTGACATTTCAGAAATTTCTTTTAAATGATGCCATTTGCTTCGTATTATGTTTTGTCTGAAAATAACGACAAAAGTTTAATTCGTGAAAGAATGTCAAATTAATTTAGAAAAATATACAGCGCATGTAGTATTAATTTCGTTTAGTTCAAAAATAAATTAGCTGAAAACTTATGTTAAACTTTTTTAAATTCATTTTTTTATGAATCCAAGTTACTTTCCTGTTTTATGAAGTGTAAAAATGAAACATTTATTTCATTATCAAATTTAAAGTTATATTAGAAAATTAGATTCTTTATACTTACATTAGAAAAAATTCTCTAACTTATGAAATTCTCAAAAAAATTCTAATTGAAAAATTCTTTAAAAATTCTAATTAACTAATTTTTTAAAAAATTTATAAAATTGCGTGAATTATTAATTACGTTTATTTCAAGAATAAATTAGCTGAAAACTTATGTTAAGCTTTTTTAAATTCATTTTTAATAAATTATTCATAGATATTCATGTTTTATGTTGTGTAAAGGAAAACATTTATTTCATTATCAAACTTAATTTTACATTAGAAAATTAGATTCTTTATACTTGTATTAGAAAAAATTCTCTAAATTATAAAATTCTCTAAAAATTTCTAATTAAAAAAATCTCTTAAAATTCAATTTAAATACTGTCTAAAAAATGAGTAAAATTGCGTGAATTATTAATTACGTTTATTTCAAAAATAAATTAACTGAAAACTTGTGCTAAAACTTTTACTTTTTTTTTATAAATCCAAGTCATTCATGTTTTATGTAGAGCAAAAGTAAAACATTTATTTCATTACCAAACTTAAAGTTACATTATAAAATTAAATTCTTTATTCTTATATTAGAATAAAGTTCTCTAATTTATAAAATTTTCAAGTAAATTTTTAATTAAAAATTCTAATTTAAAAAAAATTTTAAAAATTTGCAAAATTTGTTATGTCGGAAAAAATTTTCTTTGTCCAAAAGCTACAGTCATTTTGGAGTCACCTCTACTATTAAATCCCCTAAAATAAACTGCATTCACATTTTTCTACATAAGAAAATTCGGTTCAACGCTGAACCATAATATCATGGTTAGAATCGTAATTAACTGTGAACCATAATGAAGTGCAAATTTTCTGTAACCTTAGTAAGATGTTAACCTGAACCATATTTCCGTTCAAGTTGAAAAATAAAGTAGTATCGTGTAATCATGATACGAAGTACGATAAAATGGTTCGAAATAGCACAGTATTGAGGTATGAACAAATTTATACTATATTTCGGTTCAACTCGCTACAAATTCTAACTGAATAAGAGTAAACTGAAATTATAAAGTGAAAATTTTTTTATTTCTTTTATTTTATTTTTATTATACTTCACTTTTAACTAAACGTTTCTTTTTCCCTAATTTTAGAACAGAATAATTTTTTAAAGTTTCTAAAATAAAAAAATTTTTGAAAAAAGAAAAATCTTACTCGTTGACACTTAGACTCGTTAGCAGTGAATCTAATTGAGTGCCTTAAGTTCTAATATCATACAAATTTATTATAACCTTAATGAGGTGACAAATTTAACCATATGTTCGCGAAAATCAAATCATGTTAAACTTATTTACACAGTAATATGCTTTTCTCAAAAGTGTTCTGGATTATAATTTTGCTTTTCCTCCTCCTAATGTTAATTTGGAAACCATCAATGTATGTACTTTGTCATGTTTCATTTTTGAAAGGATTCTAAAAATGTATATTAAGAGCAGCAATAATGGAACACTTCATGCGTATTATACTCTGTTTCAAGTTAAGAAAAAAAACATAATCCCTATATAGAGAGCCTGCTTACATTTTTTTAAGTGCATTGATTTTTTTTAGAAATTTTTGAGTGGGCCAAAAAATTTTTACTATTGTCGTAATGTGCTAATCAAAATTTTTCCTGTAAAAAAATAATCTTTACACTTGTAATTGTCGAAGAAGCTTTTTCCTGTACAAAACTCTTTAACATGTAGTTGCATTGTACATGACTTTTCACATGTAGTTGTATTGACATTGTCAAAATGCTTTTGCTGGCACGCAAAAGAAATCTTAATAACCAGTTCACTTTACACGCGTAGTTTATTTGCCTTACCTAAGTATTTTTGCCAGCATTAAAATTTTTAAGGCCTTTTTTCTTACTTTACACTTAAGGTTAGTTATATTGACGTGTCACAATTTTTNATATTCTACAGCATCTTTACGAACATCGTTGAGAAACTATGATATAATAGAATCATATGATAAAATTAAATATGAGCCAAAAGTAAAGATAAATAAAAAAATATGGTAACCCAATTTCAGGCAACCGTTCAGGCAATTAAGCAACCCTTTCGGCAACTCCGAACGGAGGAATTTCACTTACAGTTGCACTTACACTTGCAGTTACACTTGCAGTTGCACATATTTTTCTCTCGTGTGATAGAGGCATTAGACACCATGCATAATTATATCCTTTTGTTCACCTAGAAAAAATAACATCGTTTAATGCTATTTTATTTCTAAACAGTTTAGCTTCATTCTAGGGAATTTTAGGATCTGGATTCGCTTTAAAAGTTCAACAACAGCAGCGTCAAAAGCACATGATTCGAAGACGAGTTCCAGCTGCAACGCTTATCCAGTGTTTATGGAGATGTTACGCCGCAGATGAGAATTCCATGTCCATTGCTACTTGGAAAATACATCAGATGCCACTACCAAGTCCTCCAGCGTGAGTTGAATTAAATTTCAAACATCGCCACTCTCTCCTTTTCTTGTAACAGTGCTTTTAAAGCACTCTGTTTCATATGTTAGCTGAGAATAAGAATTAGGTGATTACTGAATCCAAATTCAAACGTCGATGATCAGTTGTGCAAAAGTAATTAAATATGTTCTTTAATGAGTGTAAAACAAAATTTCTTTTAAAAATATGGCGACAATATTTCATGCGTAAGTTTTTCAAAAAAATTAAGCTACTTCATAAAGTTTTAATTTCAAGAAGATATTGGTTTAAATAATACCACTTAATTTTATTTGCAATTTTACCAATCAGATAAAAAATTAAATAGATAATTTCTAGAACTTTGCAAGCTTTTTTTTCTTTTTACTTAATTTCCTTAAGAACTTTTTACTTAATTTCCTTAAGCTAAAACAACAGGATGCACAGTGTTTTACTGTTACTTCCAGTGTATCAAGAAACTAGTTCATATCTAACACCTCATAGTTTTGGTAATTACGATTAGTTTTTTTTTGAAGTATTAATTATTAAGTAGATTTAGGATATTCTAGTTTTACGTTACTCAAATTTTATAAAAGTTAATTTTAAAGTAATCATATGAATTAAATGAATCAATATTCTTTAAACGTATCTAGATTGGAAAATAAATAATACGAATTGTAATAATTTTTCGGCAGTACGTCTTACAAAGTTTTCTTATTAAGAATTTTTTATATTTGCTATTATTGCTTGAATTTCAGTAAACTTTTCTTCCTTCAGATCATCAAGACAAGAGGCTCTATCACATTGATTATTTAGTCTTAATAGCTTGCACCTCTCACGCTTTGGAAATTCTTCTTTTTTATTTTCACATTATCAAAAAACACGCAAATTTATATCCTATTAAAATTGTAATCGTTCTAAATTCTCTAAGCACTTCTTCTTTTCTGAGAAAAAAAGCGTCTTAGCTCTGATTATTTGTTCTCAATAGCCTTCAAATTTTATGTTGGAAATAGTAATATTCTTTCATCGTCAACAAATAAGTTATAATGGATAAGAGACAATTACAGCCATCTTGTAACTTTAAACGCAATTCAGAAGACAAATAAAAACTTAGGTCGAGTATCTGAACTTTTTAGTGAAATTAACCCACATTGGCATTACATTGAAAAAACACCAAAAGGTCCTACCGTTACTTTAACAATAATGCGACTTAACCAAAGACAAGCCTGCCACTTGGAGAGAATTTCATTACTATTAACATTTTTTCCCGCGACTAAGCAACCCAGTTATTCCTGAGTTTCAAATCCAGGTTGCTCATATATTTGTTCTTAGGGATCGTTTGTTAAAAATTTGATTTGCCCTCCTGAAAAAGCAAAAAGTTTTAATAATTTCAATTGTCATCAACAAAGTGTATGCCAACCAGAGTCCGGTAAATGAATATCTTTTTTAATATATTGATGCATATCGAGTTTCATTCCTCAAAAATTTTTCCGTGAGTACGTGAATTGTTTGGTGAAATTATATATATATATTTTTTGCTCTTTATGATAAGTAAACACTTAAAATACCAGGATCATACATCTCTTCCTCAAGCATATTGAAAAATTATGGGGAAAGGAAGAAAATATGAATAAAAAATATTATATTTTAAAAATTTTATTTCTAAAGTTTTTTTAGAAACATTAATCAAAATAATTCTAATTAATCCAAAAACACTTTAAATTAGGCCATATAATGATCCTTGGTTAAATGTTCAACTAATTAATCTAAAGTGTTTACTTAGCGCAATTAATATGTTAGTTGTAATATAATCTATATCAGAAAGTGGCAATAAATTTGACTCTTCTTCAAAATTCACACTTATTTATTTATTTATTTATTTTTGGAATTTTACTTTTTCAAAATTGGCAGAAGAGTGAATTTACTCTCTAAAAAAATTATTTATAGGTTATTATGTATAGGTTAAAGTATGAGCTAGCCATGTCTGTAATTTTAGATTATAGCAGCTGAATCTATAAGTGTTCCATTTACTTTCATTTTCTTAAAATTTAATATTTTTAAAGCGTCCTTTTATAATCTCTTATATAAATTAATCATTAAATCCCAGTAATTCCAATGACGATTTATAGTCTTCAGTAAAAATGCATCAATATTTCTACCACAATCCGCTTACATATTTCACGCAAGCAGTAAACATCTAATTCTCTGTTCATTTGTTGTAATGCATGACTTTAATACTAAAGAATGATGAACTGTGTCATTTGAATCTATGCCTGCATCATTGCCTGCTGCACTTTAAACTGAATGTTTAATATGAACAAGCACCTCCCTCCTTCCAGCTTCCACTCTGGTTCATTCACGAGCATTAAGCTCAAAGACAGGCTTGATCTACCGCAAGGCACATCCGGCTTGTAAGTATGAGCTTTCATCTATCTTTCTCTCCTTTCATTATGCATCTTGCTTTTAATGCTGCATGCTGCGACTAACACGCCATCTGTTATGGCTCACTAACATGAAGCGAAATAAGCTTTTGTTCTTATGCAACTGGATATTCTAATCATATTCTACTTTCTGACTTAAATATAGAAATAGTTAATCAAATTTAAATATTGTATAGCCCAAGAGAACGAAATTAATTCCATGTGTGGAGATAAAGGTGGTGGTTTTAAAAATCAATTAATCAATCAAGAAAAGCATATTTTGTTGCATTTTGCTTGACAAACCTCCCCAATAACAAAATTATTAACTCTCCCGATGTTGCAAATTACTTGCAAATTTTGTCAACAGATGGCTATGCTATCTGAAAAATACTTTAAAATGTTTTCAAAATAACCATTAGTCAGTCTGAGCAAGAAACAACACCTTTTTGCAACTAGGAGTCAAAATTAAGAGATGTCCAAGCAAATATTTCAATGAGAATGGTTTGAAAAGCAGAAGAAGCCATTTTTCTATTTAAGGGGCAGAGAAACTTTTAACTTATTTTTAAAACTTAAAAAAAAAATTTTAAATCGAACATTTCTGTCTATTTTCGTTCCTTAATTGATTTCTAAAATCTTTTTTTTTTTGTTTCGTTTTTTAAAAACCCTTGTAAAACACTTATTTCATAAATTTCCTTTGAAAAATAAATTATTTAAACATAGCTACCTACCTTCTTTAAACTATTTGAAACACCGAAAATTGAGAAGCGTAACTCAACTCGAAAAGGCCCTAATTTTTAAACTTTGCTGCAAAATACTGTACTTTTTTACTCCTTCTTAATATTTTTGGAAAGTTTTCAATATTTTGTTCGTTAGCCCTCCAACTTACATTTTAGTGAACGTGTAAATAAAAAATAAGGATTAAAAAAATACTTTTTAATGTTTGTAAAACTGTTTTCAACATTTCATAAAAGTGGAAAATTAAACGTAATAAATTCTATCGCTTATTACTTAAAGAATTAAGTACTACACTAAAACAAAAAATTACGCCTAATAAGTTATATTACACGTTCTATACAAATTATAATTTCCATTGATGAAATTTTGCTTTTATCATAAAGGATATTAAACTGCGTTTTTAGCATATTTAATAATCATTAATCGGGGTGATAATAAAATCAAGGTAATAATAAGGGAAAAGGTTATATAATTTTTAAAACAAATCAAGGAAATAAAATCCAACAGTTATTTATAACCTGCTTAATCTGTGACACATTAAAAATAAAACTGTAGTTCGTGTTCCCATTCCCTACAATTAAAATTCCAAAAATAAAACGTAACAAAATAAGTTTTCATTTTCTTTCTTTCTTTCTTTTTTTTTTTTTTTNTTTTTTTTTTTTTTTTTTTTTTTTTTTTTTTTTTTTTTTTTTTTTTTTTGAATATCTGTTTTATTGCACGATATATCTTCAGACATATTTTTTATTTACTCATATTAATCATTATAATCAAGCATGTCATTTGTAAATATTATAGTTTTATTATTTTAAATGGGTGTTTTATTTAAAAATTTAATCTCTTACAATACCCAGTTTATTACTAGGTATTAAAGTCACCAATGTTTTCCAAAGGGTTTCCGATCTTAGCCTCGGCCTTACCTTCATTTTATTTATGAGTATTAAAACTACCAGTTTTTTTAATGGGTTTTTATCAAAAACTCAATGGGTTAACTATTTTTAATTCGCTATTTTGTAATTATAATTCATATTTGCCCTGAAACATATTTGGATGTTACATGAATTTAAAGTTAAAAATTAATTTTTGCATTGCAAACTTCCAAATTTTATTACAGTAAGTCATTCTATGGGTTTTGTGGCATAGTAAAATCTCCCAGACAAAAAAATTCTCGTAAAATTACTACCGTACTGTTTATTAATGACATTTCTGAAAAAAAGCTTAGTTCTGATTAATAAAACCAAACTATTCTGTATTTAAACCATTCATATAATAACGGTTTACCGGAAACATTCAGTTAAAAATACAAAACTGAAATGTAAGCTCAACCGAATGAATGGCTTTCATGAAAAGCTCTAAGGATTATTCTCCTAAGGAACATGATTCTTTTAATCATCTTAAAATTACTAAATGTTACCATGTTTAACAAATTTTATCACAGATTATAAAACCATATTTTAATGTTTACTTCACAAAAATGACCATCTGGTAGTTTTAAACATACTTTTTCTTTCTCAGTACATCAACACGCGATTTTTCTTGAAATTGTGTGTGTTTTACTTGGTTATTTATTGTATGTAATTTATTGTGATTGCGTCTATTCACGTGTTTGTGAAACGTTGTATTCCCTGTGCATGTTCGTCTGATTTGTAGAAAATGGAATTCCAGCATTTCAACATATCATGTTGATCATATTTGTCTTCGTAATTGCTACAGTGTAGACATTAAAAATCTTTCGCATTTTTACTAAAAACGTTTTTAATAAGTTTTATGCTTATTATATTGATAAATGATTGTTAATTTTTTTTTATTTTGTTAAAGGAATATGTACATACAAATTAGTATAAAAATACTACTACTATGTTAACTAAAAAAGCATGTTTTCACACGTAACATAACTGGACAGATTTGATCACAAATCTCTTATCTCTTGAACATGGCTCAGATTTATAACTTTCCAGATTTTTAAATTTTCAATCCTCAGAAATGCCTTATCTCTAGGAAAAAATATTTTTGAGTGGGTACTATGCTAGCAACCTTAAAATAAATAAATTGCAATTACTCTTATTCTGGTGGAGATAAGAACTTCTATATTCATGGTATCATTTTATAACCGGTGTTTAACAGCCGACCCAGGTCTGAATTTAAGAATATCATTGTTCAGTTCCGTAGTCTTGCAATTTTAAACCTTACCCAGATGACAAAGTAACTTCTGGAGCAAGCATTCGAATGAACTAGCTTTCGTTGAAGACTTTTTGGTAAATCTAACTCTCGATTGCGTAACCTGAAGAGAAAAACTATGAAAACCTCCCATGTTTAGCCCAATGGTCAAAGATTTTCAACCCATGATCATTGAGGACATTTTTGATGTCAGCATTATGGATGGTGCGAGCCGGATGCAGAATACGTACCTCCACAGTGTCTGGGATTTGAACCTGAGTCACCTCAACGATTGGCAAGCTTCCATGTCATCACTTGAAATAAAAAGACTAAAACGGATCGGGATTTATTTCCACCCACAGCTTATAGTTCAAGCTACGTGAAAATAAATCCCTTCTAGGTCCACGCTTCCCTAATAAAATTCTACGTTTTGAAACTAACAAAATTTGTAATACAATGGCAATAACATAAAATAGCAATGATAAAATAACAATAATAACGAAGATAAAAAAATAACAATTGATAGTAAATAATAATTGTAAATAATAATAATAATAGAAAATGCATAGTGAAAAATTAAGACTGATTTAGAGTTAAATCACTGTAATAAAAAAAAACATCATCTTCAATACCCAGACTCATTCTAAGAACAATATTGATGTAACCAATCACTATTACTACGTACAGTCCACGCTCTTTCAACGAAACTGAACTTATTATATCTTTTTGGTTGCATTCTTTCCATTTAAAAAAATTATTTCATGCTTTTAAATTATGATAGCATATAGCCAGAATATAGTTCACGGGGAACGTGATTTTTTGGGTACGCTATAAGAATTTCCGAATCAAATTACGATATAAAGTACCGGCACTTTGGGTGCATCGTCCGTAACATCCATGATACCGTAAAATACATTTTTTCATAAAATCTATTTCTACCTTAAAATATTGTACCGTTAATTTTACAGTGATATTATTCAGTGCTATTTATTACTGTGAATATTACGGTATATCAGATTTTTTTTTTCTCGTAAAAGCATGTCTCTGTAAAAAAGGGTTTTACAGTAAAAAATACAGACACCCTGAGTATCGGTACTTTTTACCGTTATCTTTTACTGTGTTTAACAAATCCCAATATCTGTTCAGGACACAGAATTAAGAAGTGCCCCGACACTGTTGAAGATTTTAACGATCATGTTTTAACTACATTATCTGCTCTCATTATCTTATATGCCGTGTTCAAATTAATTAAAAACCTTAGAACAGAGAAATCCTTTGTTCTGTTAATATATTACATTTTATCGTCGTAATCATTTAACATGGTTCTTCGAAACTCTTCGCGAAGGAAAATTAAAAAATGACACAGTTTCAATGCCTTAGACTTAAAGCAAAGCTATAATTTTAAACTACATATACCATCTTGTAGTAAAGAATTATCTGGGCTTTCGAATGGACAAATAACTTAAACATTTTTCAAGTTATTTAGCATTTTTGAAAATTGCCAATTTCGTGACATTTCGACCCCTCTCCCCTTGAAAGGGTGCTGGCTAAATATAAGCTAAACTGATATTAGCTATACTGAAGTAAACTAAACTGATATATAAAATATAAGCTAACAGTCATGAGTAACTTGGCAATTTACAGCAGTTTACAGCAGATTACTCGTAAAAAAGCGTCATTTCATGTAAAGACAGAGCCTTCAAAAAACAGCCATAAGCAGTTAATATAATTAAAAAACTCTCAATTCACTAACAATTTATTATTTTGTACAGGTTCAAGCACAATACTTCCTTTGTCAGTCGTCTTTCAACCATTCGAAGACATAAAACTCCTCACGGGCAACCAGGAAGAGGAAGGTTCGATTCCACTGCATCCACTGATTTCATGTCAACTTCAAAGACGCCATCTGGTGGATCTACCGGGAACTATGTAGATGATGGTACCGGCAAAGATGTATCCGATACATCTAAAAGAAATTCTGATGGTATAATTTTCTACGGAACACTATTTCTTACATGTATTTTTTTAAAAACCTTAAAACGAAGCATGATTTCTGCATAAACTTTATTAATTTATAGTTCTAAAATTTAACAATTTCTACTCACGTTATAATATGAATAGTAAAAATATTGTTAAAAGTAATTTTTTTTCACATTATAGACATTATGTTTTTTATTTCAATTAAATTTCTAATTCCTTACATCACTATACAATAATAATACATGAATAATATAACAATAATTACCACAAATTTCCACGTTTATAGTATAACTTCAATACATATAAGAAACTTAATTGTGTTGTTGTGATAAATATGATTTCGAATCTCCTCTCTCAAATAAATCTTAATTTATAACATTTTGAAAAAAAATCGAAGTAAGCTTTTTTTTCATTTTTATTAATTAGAAAATTCAAAACAAGGCTAGAATTATTTGCTAAAAGTAAAAGCAGTTATTCACTAATATATTATACCAAAAAAAAAAAGATTCTGTAACTAAAAGTCAATTCTTTTAAGATTTTAAAAATAGATTTGAGATAAGAAATTTTTGCCTAAAAAATTCATTTTCCTAATTAGGCAGATTTCAGTTAATTCATTATTTTTTAATTAAAAGTTATACCTGAAAAACTTTTTTTAAATATACAGAGAAACATAAAATGCTTTTAAACCGTTTTCTCTTCTTTTTAGTTTTGATCTTTTTTAAAAAATGAGTGCAAAGCGATTTAATGAATGAAAGGAAAATATTAAACTTAATGAGTAGAATATGTATCTTAAAGAAATGTACGTAAATGTTGATTTTATGAGAAAACTTTTTTAATCTATCTTATCATATAATTTTAACTTTCTAATATCATATAATTTACAACTTAACAACTTACAGAACTTAAACTTTAATTAAAAGTATTTTAAAAGTAAGCATGCTGGAAGAAAACTAAAAAATTTATTTTACTGAGTATATGTTAAAATTTAATTATTTGAATTTTTTATCGTCTTATATAAAAGAACAGTATTTATTTTTATAACAACAATTAAATTTTTATTTCCCTACAAGTAATAGAGTATTATCCTACAAGAATGTGGTAAATAGAGTAATTAATATGATATGTATATTAATATAATATATATAATGTTAAATATGAAAAAAAGTATAAAATAATTTCTCATGAAGTTTTTAGCTAATTATAAATAATATAATTATAGTAGTTAACGAAACTTCACCTGGCTTTAATTAAAACACTTTTCTCAAGCTAATAATGTAAATTTTATTTCGTTCCCTAAATTTTAAAACTTTTGCGATACTCTGAAAGAAGACAAGCATTCATAAAAACATCGTTTGTGTTGGAAATACTGTTATAGAATTATGTATTTTTGCGAGTATAAAATTTTTTAAAAAAACTTGTGCTCTTAATGATATTTAAAATAAAATCTTGTGACAGATTATAAAAATAATTACATTAAAAAAACTGTGTTTTTTCCAAGTGCAGAATATTTTATTTATGTCGGTGACTTTTTGAGCTAAAATAATTTATTGAGAAATAAAACTTAATTGGAATTTAATGCTCGGAGAAAAAAATATTCAGAAAAATTACCGTACTGCACATAGTAATAACAATTCTAGTAAAAAATAATAGTAGTTTTTTGTAATAAAACCAATATATACGGTATTTAAACCATTCGTTTCATAATTTTCCGTTCCGGTTTAAAGGTTTTTCCGATCTGGTTTTCAAAATTATAATTCCTATTATCACTACTAGTAAAAATTGCAAAACTGAAAAATAAATTTAACTGGGTTTTATACCATGCTCTAAGGTATCACGTTAAAATTAGTAAGCTTAATAAAACTTAAAAAATTTTATCACTTATTATAAAACCATATCTTATTATTAATTTTTCAAAATCAATACCAAAGTGCTTCAGTAAAAACTATATAGCGCTTTGGCGTTCCCATAGAACCAGAAACACGGTAAATTTCACCATATTCTTGTAGTCTTGACCATAGTTTTTTCTCAGTGCTGCAATAAAGAAAAATTTAAATTTAATTAAGTTTCAGACCATTCCAATCGAGATATTTGCTCGGGTGTCAGATAATTTTACCCTAAAATTTCGCCAAGTGATTTTGGATTAAAGTGGTTAGTTTAAAAGCAACGTTTTAAAGTTTTATTTGGTTAGCAGTGCCATCTGTTGACCAATTTTTTAATTAAATTTGAGACAGAGTGAAAATTAACCAGATTATTGAGCAAAACACAGGTAAACACGAAAAATTAGTTTTTATTTCCTTCCGTTTTTCTTGTTAGATTTTTTTTAACATTCATAATTTTTAGGCCACCCGGTATCTGAAAAGTCTTTTAAAATTATCGAATATCGCCGCTATCATTGATTTCCATTTGTATAATACATGCCATTGTGTACCATACTCAACGGAAATCTTAATAATGATTCCGTAGATTTGAACTGATTGTAGATTTGAATTATTTGTCTTTTTAAAAATGAAAAAAAATAATAAAAATTGGCATTTAATGCCTAATCAAATTCATGCTTAATGCATAAGGATATTCGAATATTAATTTTTTTGCTATAAATACTGTTACTTACACTTTTGTCTTCTACACTTAAATAATTTTTTCGAGATCAAAATTTATAATTGATGGAAAGAACAATTTTTGATAAGCTCTTAATTTGCTCTATAATTCAGCTTTAGGAGCTTCAAAATTTCTAAAAGTGTCTATCACTGCAATAAAATAATGCAATAAAATTTATGTAAGAACGTCTAATATATATTAAATTTCAAACACATTTTACTGTGTCAGTTGGAAAGATCTTGAATTCAGTTACGCTTTTAGTAAGGCTTTTATTTTTTGACGGAAGAGAAGGGCAGAATATTACTTCTATACCCTTAAACAGAAACATCAAACCTCAAATAGAATATATATAGCGTGATACATAGGTTTTAAATATATTCCAACATTAATTTATTCTTTTGAAAACATCAAAATTATAAAATTCAAAAGTACCTTACTTTCAAAATAATAACACAAATATATATGTGAATTTTGTTAGCTAACTTGCTTCTTTAAATTTTACATTTAGCTAATCATATTTACAAACAAATCAACAATATGTTTATGGATTCATTTTAATTATATACGTTAATTAAAACTTATATACGTTAAACATAATAAAACACACTTTTAATCTTATTTCCATCCCTTTTATCAAATTCCAACTGAGAGGCATAGTTTTATTCCATTAACAATGCATTATAAGAATATTTAATTTATTCTAATAATCCATTATTTAACATCAAAGTCACGATTTCTTATCTTAAATAGCATCTTCAATACTCTAAATTTTGAAGTATGTCTGAATAAACATATATTCTTTCTTTTTTTTGAAAATAGGCAGTAAAATTCAATTTATTGCTTTTACGTTAACATTTGTATTTTATTCAAACTTGTATCAAATTTACATGCAAAAAGATTAATTATTAGATACATTTTTTTATATCATTTACAATATCAATACAACCACACAATATATAATTTTGATACATCAGTCAGCAATATTTAATGTGCTTACAAGCAAGCTACGAGAAACAAAATAATTTATTCTTATTTTTTAAAGAACAAATAAAACAGCAAAATTTTGATTTTCGAATATTATTATTCCATTTTATTCTAAGTCTCAAATTATTTTATTTAAAAGTATGTCGTACAATTTTTTTCACAAACTAGCCATTTATTTAATCAGTAATTATATCCTATGTAATTTAGTTAATCAGTAATATAAGGTTTAAATTTTGCACTAAATCATTTGACTTTTAAACAAAGAATTATACATAAATTCTTACAGAAAAAATGAATTATACAGAAAAAATTGTACATAAAATTAGATTGAATTTTACATCACGAAGTTCAATAAATCATATTCTTTTAATCATCAATTTAATTTTAATTGTGTCTGAAAAATTAAATATCATGCTAAAACCTTTTACTTTCAACAACAAAACACGTTTAGAAAGCTGCCTTATGTAGACATTAGCTTTACGCTTTAACCTATACAACTTCTTTAGAACTGCTGTTAATGCATAAATCAATTTATGCATGCATGGTTGTTGCTGTTTTTTAAATGTCCTTTAGATGTAACTGTATGTTGTCAACATGACATTTTTTGGTGTAGAGCTTTTTTGACTATAATAAAGCATGGTAGCTGTTATAGTTTATTGCAAGTGAACATTCGGTACTACCCATTTTGTGTTGTATATCTGTATGGTATGTGTTTGTGTATAAAACCTTTTTTTATTCTTCCCTGATGTATTACTAACCAGAATGCATTGTGGAGTGTGCTGACGTCATGACTACACCTAAAGGCCTGTGCAACATGTTGCAGAAAGAATTCAGCTGTCCGCCATATGTGGCGCTGTCGCCAGCATTTCTCTCCTCCGAACAAACATCCCCAGGTTGGCGGTAAACCAAAACATAAATCAGCACTACTTTCTATAAATTCGCACCTATTTCAAATTGAACATAAAGTTTAAGAAAACTATTGTGAATATCTATTTTGGTTCAGTTAGCGTAGTTATCAGTAATGGAAAGTATTAGTTTCAGGGAAATATTTTGAAATTATTTATTGAAAATTATTTATTTTCTCAACAGTATAAAGAAATTTGAACAGTTTAGTTTGTTTAAAGAACAAAATATTTTCAGATAGGTGGTAAATAAAACGTTAATTAACGTATTTTTTATGAGAAACATTTCAGGGAAATATTTTGAGATTATTTATTGAAAATTATTTATTTTCTCAACAGTATAAAGAACTTTGAACAGTTTAGTTTGTTTAAAGAACAAAAAATTTTCAGATAGGTGGTAAATAAAACGTTAATTAACGTATTTTTTATGAGTTTGAGCCACTTTAAATTATTTATAATAAAGTTTAAAAAAATTAATATTAATATCTATTTTGTTTCAGTTATCAATAATGGAACGTATTAGTTTCAACGAAATATTTTGAAATTATTTACTGAAAATTATTTATTTTCTCAACAGTATAAATAATTTAGAGCAGTCGAGTTTGTTTAAAAAATAGAAACTTCTCAGTTTGGAGATAAATAAACTTAAATTAGCATATTTCTTGTGAGTTTGAACCATTTTAAAATTTTTATAATGAAGTTTAACAAGAAATTTATATGAATATCTATTTCGGTTCAGCTGGAGTAGTTATCAATAATGGAAAGTATTAGTTTCATGGAAATATTTTGATATTATTTATTGAAAATTATTTATTTTCTCAACAGTATAAACAATTTTTAATAGTTTAGTTTGTTTTAAGAACAAAAATTTCTCAGTTAGGCGATAAATAAAAAGTTAATTAACGTATTTCTTATGGGTCTGAACCATTCTAAATTATTTGTAATAAAGTTTAAAAAATTAATATCAATATCTATTTTGGTTCAGTTAGAGTAGTTATCAATAATGGAAAGTATTAGTTTCAGGGAAATATTTTGAAATTATTTATTGAAAATTATTTATTTTCTCAATAGTATAAACCACTCTGAATAGTTTAGTTTGTTTAAAGAACAAAATTTTCTCAGTTTGGAGGTAAATAAAACGTAAATTAGCATATTTTTTATCGGTTTAAACCATTTTAAGTTTCTTATAATGAAGTTTAACAAAAGATTAATATGAATATCTATTTTGGTTCTGTTGGAGTAGTTATCAATAGTGGAAAGTATTAGTTTCAGATAAATATTTTGAAATTATGTATTGAAAGATTTTTTTCTCATTAGTATATGCAACTTTGAACAGTTTAGTTTGCTTAAAAAGAAACAAAAAATTTCCATGTTGGCAAATAAAACTTAAATTAGCATATTTTTTATGGATTTGAACTATATTAAATTAAGTATAATAAAATTTTCAAAAAAATTTTTATGAATATTTGTTTTGGTTCAGTTAGCGAAGTTTTCAATTATAAAAAGTATTACTTTAAGAGAAATATTTTAATTTATTTATTAAAAAGCATTTTCTTAATAATACACAACTTTTAATACTTTATTTTGTTAAGAACATTGTTAGATATCGTTAAACAACTTATTTATCTATTTCAAGTTTGGTGCTGAAATAAAACATGAATTTAGACTACTATCTATAAATTTTTATTCATGGGAAATTAAATATGTAATTTAAAAAACAATACACAAATATCTATTTTTGCATAGTTAGAATTGATATCAAAAATAGAAGGTATTATTTTGAAGGAAATATTGATGACGAGCTTACTTTGACGAATAACTTACTCACTGCACTGCGAATCCTTCGAACATATTATGGTATTTTAATAATTATTTAAGGTAATATTCGATGCAACTGTACTAGATTCTAAAATTTAACTCTTATTTCTTAGAAAATCTTAAGAATTGTGAAAAATAATCGGAGATTATTTTCCATCCAAAACCTAAATCCATACTACAGATTAAAAAAATCTACATGAATCTAATGACGTCAATTCAGAAAACAGAGAAAATTCATTTTGTAATTGAATTTAAATTTGAATCACACGATCAAATCACTACATTTTTTTAGACAAGGCTGTTGTGGCATTAATTTTCCCGCAATCTGGTGTTGCCACCATATTTCTATCCTATCTATTCGGCTTCAAAAATTATCAGTACTTATAGGTTGGCCGAGAGCAAGTAAATTCAATTTTTATTTAGCTTAAAACAAAATGACCTGAATAAAAATAGTATCTACTTGAGCCTACAGTACTTGAGCCTACAGCCTACAGTATCAAATTATCTTATGATAAAAATGTTAGCGATAATTGTAAATCGTAGGAGGATGGTAGAAATAGAAAAAAAATTTATTCTATGTGTAAGTTCTTAATTAAGAGTCACGAGATATTTTAGTTTGCAGTGTACTTATATATTTTTTAAAAGAAACTACAGATCTTACTACTTTTTACTTTCATTAATAAATCTAAAGTATTCTAGCTAATCAATAAAAAGATTTATTAGAGACTTTTTATATTACTTATATACTAGTAAAGACATTGTACTTCTGCTAAAAAAAATTCTTACTTATTCAGTAAAAAAATACATGACGTTTTCGATAAAAATTAGAGTTTTTTTTTCTTTTAAAAAGTTGTGCGTATGAAAGCGAATGATATATATACCTATATTTTACATTTTCTTACTAAAATAGTAAATACAAAGTAATTCTTCTTTTTATGAAGCTAGAAATTTTATTTTATTCATAAGTTTAGATTACAAAAAAAAAATATATTCATTCAAACAGGTATTATTTCGTTAAATGTTATACTTATTTTAAACAGAAAAAGTAACACAACGATTTTAGTATAAATTAAGTAATTTAAATTTCGAGAAATTAGTAAAAGAAATTAATGGGAAAAAAAACATTGTTGAATACCAATTTTCATGAAATCTTCAAGCATTTTTTGAGACTATTAAAAATTTTGTGCAACTAAATGCAAAAAATTATGGTAAAAATTCTTTTAAAATGTTTTCAAGAGCTATTTGTATGCTACATAAAATTATCATAAAATAGGCTTCAATTCCTGCCATTAATAAAAAAATTTTGCACAATAATCTCTTCCAAGATTCTCCTTATTCTTATGTTAAAATTCTTGCTTTAAACAAATTCACAAACAATTAACAAAATTCTTTTGTTAAGATAAAGTATTTGCAAATCGAAACATTAATGATTCATTCATTATATCTATTATATTTATTTTAAATCAATTTGAAAATAAAGAAATGTTATGTATTTATCGAGAAAATGAACTTAAGCTCATTAAATAATATTTTTTTTAAGTTCCGGCGAAGTATTGTAGTTTGCCTAAAAACTTTTAGCCGAAAATATTTAAATTTTTAATGAATAAAATTTTTCATTTAAGCATATCTCCAGAGAGATGGAATTTAAATTGATTTTGAATCATGAAAAATAGAAAACAATGACTGTTTTATATACGCAATATTAAAAGCAGTAATTATTAATATTACATGGCTTTATTTTATTTAAGGCTTCTAAAAGGATAAACAATTATCAGACGTCAGAAATTTTTAAAATATACACATTAAGCATAAAAAAGTTCGCAATATCCAAACATAAATGTTTGGATGGCAATCAAGAGTCTAATCTTAAAAATATATATGGTTATTAATTCCTTGAACGTTATATCCAAACAAAACCCTTTTTACCATTTTCTGAATTACCTCGTGCATTTTTTAAACTTTTTTCTTCTCAAAATTTTTTTACAGGTATATTTCATAGTTTTCTCTTTTATTTCATTACATCACCCTAAATTTTAACAGACAGCTACATCTATAGCAAATGAAACTGAAAATGCGGTGGCCAGAGAATATTGGAGTTTTATAAGTTCAAGTAAATGTCAGGGAATTTAATTAAAATACGCGAAATATAACGAAAAAATGAACTAATTTAAGTTAAATATCTAAAAGTTCAATGATTTTCAACAAAAAATTGGCCAAGTAATAATTTTAATTAAAAAAATATTAACCATTTTCAACTCTAACAGAAAATAAAAGTGTTTTGTAACATACTTTTTGCACAAAAATCTGTCATCTAATGAATTAATAATAAAACGTATGCCACTAGTTACAAAAATTAGTGAACTTCGATAAAATCAATCCAGAAAAACCAGGGGAAAATTAAGATTTTTTTTAAGTGTCAGTAGCCATTGTACAAAAGTTTTTGTATCAGAGAAATTAGATGCATCAATCTAGAAAAATCAATGAAAATTTAGGATTTTTTCTGAATGTTTGTGGCCATACAAATAAAGTCTTTTTTTTTCCCCTCACAATACAATTAAATGGACATGTTCTCTTATAATTATGATTCATCATAGATTTATCTGAGTGAATTATAAAAGCACAGAGTCAGATTAATTTTTGAATATACATTATCAAGTCAATTTAACATTATCAAGTCAACTTTGCATTATCAAGTCAATTTTTTTTTTTGCACAAAAATCTGTCTTCTAATGAGTTAAGAATAAAATGTGCCACAAGTTACAAAAATCAGTGAACTTCGATAAAATCAGTTTCGAAAAAACAGGAAAAAGTTAGGATTTTCTTTAATGTTAGTGGCCATTGTGTAAACGTTTTTGTATCAAAGAAATTGGATACATCAGTCTAGAAAAATGAATGAAAATTTGGAATTTTTTCTGAATGTTTGTGGCCATACAAATAAAGTCTTTTTTCCCCTCACAATACAGTTAAATGGACTTTTTCTCTTATAATTATGATTCATCATAGATTTATCTGAATGAATTTTAAAAACACAGAGTCAGATAAATTTTTGAGTATATATTATGAAGTCAATTTAACATTATCAAGTCAATTTATTTTTTGCACAAAAATCTGGCATCTATTGATTTAAGAATAAAATGTACCACAAGTTACAAAAATCAGTGAACTTCGATAAAATCAGTTTCGAAAAAACAGGAAAAAGTTAGGATTTTCTTTAGTGTTAGCGGTCATTGTGTAAACGTTTTTGTATCAAAGAAATTAGATACATCAATCTAGAAAAATCAATGAAAATTTAGGATTTTTTCTGAATGTTTGTGGCCATACAGATAAAGTCTTATTTCCCCTCACAATACAGATAAATGGACTTGTTCTCTTATAATTATGATTCATCATAGATTTATCTGAATGAATTTTAAAAACACAGAGTCAGATAAATTTTTGAATATACATTATCAAGTCAATTTAACATTATCAAGTCAATTTATTTTTTGCACAAAAATCTGGCTTCTATTGAATTAAGAATAAAATGTACCACAAGTTACAAAAATCAGTGAACTTCGATAAAATCAGCTTCGAAAAAACAGGAAAAAGTTAGGATTTTCTTTAGTGTTAGTGGCTATTGAGTAAAAGTTTCTGTAGCAAAGAAATTAGATACACCAGTCTAGAAAAAACAGAGAAATTTCAGGATTTTTTGTGAGTGCTTGTGACTATCCATTTAAAGTCTTTTTTTCACCTCACAATTCAGTTGAATAGACTTGTTATAAATGTAATTTTGATTCATCATAGATCTATCTAATCAAATTTTAAAAATGCAGAGTCAGATTAATTTTTGAACATACATTATCAAGTTATCAAATTTTAAAAATGCAGAATCAGATTAATTTGTGAATATATATTATCAAATCAATTTAACATTATCAAGTCAATTTAACATTATCAAGTCAATTTTACATTATCATGTCAATTTCTGTTTTGCGCAAAAATCTTGCGCCTAATGAATTAATAATAAAATGTACCGCAAGTTACAAAAATTAGTGAACTTCGATAAAATCAGCTTCGAAAAAACAGGAAAAAGTTAGGATTTTCTTTAGTGTTAGTGATCATTGAGTAAAAGTTTTTGCACCAGAGAAATTAGATACATCAATCTAGAAAAACCGGGGAAAATTTAGAATTTTTTCTGAGTGTTTGTGACTATCCATTTAAAGTCTTTTTTTTCACCTCACAATTCAGTTGAATAGACTTGTTATAAATATAATTATGATTCCTCATAGATTCAGTTCAATTAAATTTTAAAAATGCAGAGTCAGATTAATTTTTGAATATGCATTATTAAGTCAATTTAACGACAATATAATTATTTAACACACCAAAACAGAAATTGAGATCCTTCCCAACAACATTTCCTGAAATCAATTTCAGCGATAGAATATACAGTTAGAAGGACCGAGCTTTTAAAGGATTTATCTCTTCATTCATTATGCTCTGAATCCCAAAACAGAGAAACAGTAAATTTAATTCAGGAATCATTTCACCCAGGCATGCAAGCTTTCGTGTAGTTTCATTATGAGTTACTATATTCACGGGGCTTAGAGACAGATAAAAGGATCGGACTGTAATTGTTTTCTAAATCATGGTCTGCGGATTTTCAAACGAGCCATGAGGTGCCCGATTCATTTATAAAGGATTCATTGTTCTGATTTCACGTCCGGTTTAGATTAATTTCGGTGTATGCTTTTAAAGAGGTAATATCGTGGAAAGTAATCTCTGGTATTGAACATGAAGAGGTTAAAAATTAATTGACAAATTATTAGTACACGAAATCTGTTATTTAATACCAGTAGTTTATTTATATGACATAAAATGTATTGAAAAGGAAAAATATGTTTTATATTAATAATGTAAACATAATTTACATAAACTTTAATATTAAGTAAATATTACTCGGTGAAATTAAAAATATTTAAATGAAGCCTGTTATAGATATTTACTGCGTATTTGAAATAGGTTCGAATGCTTTGCCAGGTACACTAAATTGAAACTAAATTGCTCTTCTTGAAAAGTTTTTACGTAACAAAACTTAAGAAATACAAATATTTAATTGTTTTTTTGCCCAAATTTGTAAAATTGTTTTAAAATACTTTTTTTCTAATTTTTATTTTTAATCGCGTAGCTGATTTTCAGTGTTTTAGGCAAAAAGCAGCTATCTTCCATTTGTGATGATTGAAATGAGGTGCACTGCCTTGTGCCAAAAAAGAAAACTCTAATTTGCATAAAAATGCACCTGAAGTTTTGTTTCTGAAAAATGAACCAAATACTTTTAGTTTCATAAAAATGTATTTTCGTGAAAAAATAAAAACAGTTATTTCCAACAACCATGCATACTTTAGGGTGTTTTTATTAACTAAATTTGAAAATTTTCAAATTCTTTTACTGTTTTCTATAAACACACAATTCGATAGTTAACTTATTTTTACAGCTTCTTTATTTTTTTCCGTTATCTAATATTAATCATATACTCATATAGCGTTTAATACATTTATTTTCAATTTTTTATTTCGGTAGTTCATAATTGGAAACTTTTCTCATATTAATTTCCAGTAAGAGTCATAAATTTTAAAAAAAAACGAAAAAATTTAGAACGGACCATACCCTCTAAACCAAGTTATGTCACGAAACTATCTTTTGAAACAAAATCTGAAATTTATGTAAAACAAAATTTCGCTTATGATTTAAAAGTGAAATAGCATTTCAAAAATATGTTTTAAGTGGTATTTGTTCTTCCAAGCGTAGGCTCAAGACGAGGCAGTTTCTGTGTAAATCTCTTCAACAGGGTTCGTAAAGATAGTCCCTCTTCCTGCGGTAAGCTTAAAGACACTGAGGGAAAAATACGTAAAAAATTGCACAAGTTTATTTAATTTTTTCTTAAGCACATTTTTCTATCAGATGCAATTATTTGCTTGGCTTCAACACTTCGCTTAGAAATAGCTTCTGAAATACGCATCACTCTCATCTTTTAGGTAGCAAGTCTGTCTTATTTTTCACATGCCACCTTTTCTAAAACTATTAATGTAGGTATATTATGACCACCCTCCATCTATAACAATGGGCTTGCCCAGGTCTTCATGGTTTCTCGCCCAGGAACAAAGTTTTCATGGAGCACATTAGGACCCATAATCTTCATAGAACGATCCCTGACGTCTGTAAGCTACTTGAACATAGTTGCAGACCAGATTCACCCATTCATGGCAACAGTTTCTCCTGCTGGGGATGGTGTTTACCAACAGAATAATGCACCATGCCATAAGGGTCGAATCGTCGAGGAACTTTCCAGTGACTTTCAAGTCATGTCTTGTCCCCCAAATTCACCTGACCTTAATCCAATAGAGCATTTGTGGTCCTACTTGGAAAACCAAATTCGTACTGCCACGCTACCCCCTCGCAATGTGAGGGAATTGCAGGACCAGTTGGTGAGCGCTTGGTACCAGATACCTCAGACTACCTATCAGCACCTTGTGGAATCAATGCCATGGCGGGTGCTAACAGTTTTGAGGGCTAAAGGTGGTCCTACATGTTATAAGCAGGGTGGTCATAATGTAATGGCTCTTAGGTGTATAAATGTAGTTAAATATATAGACATAGGTTTTTGTTTAAAAATGTATATCACCAGAAATCTGAATAATAATGTTTCTCGACTCTTTCAAAGAATAAAAATGCCTAATAAAAATTAAGTCTTCTAGAGCAGGGGAAGCTCTTAAAAACTGATAAATTATGCTAATAATGCTACGAAATTAAAACTTTTTAGCTAGAAAATACTTAAAATGTCAAAGAAAAACCTTCTTAAAGGTCTAGCCTCTTTTTCTTTAAAAATACCAAAATGTAAAATTTTAAGCAAAAAACATAGTATTAAAATACCAAATAATATCTAAATGAGCTCAGTTATCAGAAGAATTTCAATCATATGAACATTGAATTAAATTTGCCCAAGAAAAAAGTTTGGTCCTTGAACCACATTGTAAAAAACTCCGAATCCAATTGTGGTATAAAGTACTGGCACACAGAGTGCCGGTACTCTTTACAGTAAAATCCAGTATTACCGGGACATGTTACGGAACAAAACTCTTAATTCTGATGCATCGTAATTTTTACAAAAATTACCGTAAAATAATTTAATTAAATAAATATTACTATAAACTTTACGGTAAGAATAAATTTTTACGGATGATGCACCCAAAGTGTCGATACTTTATACCATAATTTGATCCAAAATTTTTAGCAGCCCATAAATATCCATATTTTCAACCAGAATGTGGTATATGTTAGCTTCGACCTTTTGGTGGTTTTAAGTTTCCTTTATATTCTGTTGTTAATACATTAGACACCATAGATAGATTCAGCATTTTCACGTAGTATCCCGCACGTTTAAACATGCTTATTCTGAGCGTGCACTGTAGACAGCCGACTTTGTGCTCGAGTCAGAACCTTGTCTGGAACATACGCATCTTAATGCAAGGGATTTAGTGTGAACATACTAAATCTGCCTAAATAGATTACACAGCTAGTCACGTTCACACATATTTTGAAGTAACTGCGCATGTCCACGAAACAAATTACTCAAGACTTCGCGTGTCCACGCATGCGTTGTTACATCATATATGAAAAAATGAATGTGAAGCATTATTGATAAATATCTCTGTTATCAATGGTAGAGTAATCAGGTGTAATAAGGATAAAAAATATTTAGCCCTAATAACCTTTGATAGTATAAGCCAATCTGAAGCTAAGACTTAATTGTTTGTTGAATCTCCCAAAAATATACTAATGCCTTACAATTTTTAAGAACTTACATATTTTAATTGTAATTTTAAGCTAAATAGACACGGTCTTAAAAAGTTTTAAATATAGAAAAAAATTAAGAGTGGGGCTACAGTTTCTTATAATTGTAAAAAAAAATTTACTATGTGCATTTCCTGAGAATTCATGCACAAAAAAAAAACCAACTTGGATTGACTGTTTGAAATTATATTTTTGTATTTCTTTGAAAGTTATTGACAGGTAATACTGAAAACATTTATCGTTTCTTATTAAATATCTAATGCTACATTAATGCATGTGAATCAAAATGTGAAGTTGAAAACATCGTGTCTAAGATTTTCACATCAATGTTGCGAGAAGGGAAATTATGAAGTTTTCAGAAAAGCTTCTCTTCTTAAACTGTTTTTCTAACAGTTCTTTTTTTAGAAACTCTTCAAAAACATTTTCAATTTGCTTATGAGTTATCAAGTGTTCAAAAATTCAATGTTTTCAACTGAGGAAGTTATAACGTGAGTCAAATCGTTCAACATCATGCTCAGTAAAAAGCATTCGTATATTTTCTTCAAAGGAAATGTTCTGCGTAAAACTATATTATACACGTAGAGAAAAATTCTGGTAAAATTATCGTATTGTTAGTAATAACATTTCTGGTTAAAAGAAAAAAAGACAATTTTGGTAATAAAACCAAAATATATGGTATTTAAGGCATTCCATTTGGACTTTTTTTTTCTGTTCATAACTGTTTACCGGAAATTCTTGTTTTCAAAATTATAGTGCTAAAGACCGCGCATTTAGTGGAAAATACAAAACGGTAAAGGAAAATTAACCAAATAAATGGTTTCTTTACTCATGCTCTAAAGTATCATGGAAAAATTTCCAATTTTTGTGACATTTAACAATTTTATCACATAATATAACACCATATTTTATTGTTAACTTTGCAAAAATCATTGCCAAAGCGAACTAGAAATACGGTAAATTTTACCGTATTCTAGTAGCTTTTAGATCATCCTTTTTATCTCTGTGTATTCATACTTCTTGACCTAGCATAATACCTAAAACCCATAAAACGGCATTTATAGTTGTGAAATGACATTACTTGCTATATAATGCTCAAACAATTTTGTGCAAAATTTACATAGACGTTTAGAAAATTGTGTATTGTGGACAGTATTTTTTACACGTTGATTGTTCTATGGCGCATGTAAGCAACTGGCTATGGTAGAATGCACGTAAAGGCATGAAACTTTTATTGTCTTTTATCAGCATGTCTATTACCTGGACTTATGTTTATAAATATATATATATATATATATATATATTTCTTATATTGTGCATGTTATCTCTATTTGTTCTGTTCTCTTTTCATCAAAAATATATAAAATAATTACTGGCATCTTTTTCACAGTTTTTAGAATAGATAATTTGATATTAACTGAAAAATATCTACTTTATTTGAATGTATTTTTTGTCTATGTTTCTGCTTTTTTTTTCTCTTTCAAATGCATGGTTTTTGCATGCTTATAGTTATATTTCTTGTTTGTATTTCCCAAACAAATATCGAATTGTATAGTTAATAAAAATAAGAGTCTATTTAACCGTTTAACCTCAGAAATTAAATAGTTTTTCGAACTCTAAAGTATTGAAAATAGTAAAATTTATGTAATAAATTATTGTATCAACTAAGAGATTGTTGAAAACACTGCTGTATACAGAAAGTACAGAAGCAGTATAATGAAAGAAATATCCACTTGGCTTAAATACAAAAGTACTACCACGTGTTCAATAACATCGTTTATAATATGCTTTCATAAAATTGTATTCGTTCCTTTTTTCACGAAAAAGAATAAGAACCTCAAATAGAGTTGTAATCATCTAGTTTCCTGCTTTTGATATGTCATGATTTATTATGATACGAATATAATTATTTAATTGATCATCAACACACTATACCTACCAATAATACCAAGAAATAGAATCCTCACCAAAAAAAAGTGTTTTTTTCTATTGAATTATCAAGTGAAAGTCATGCGCGTTTATCTAAGAAAAATCTGCAGCAAGCAAGTATTTCAAACAAAAATAGGTACCATGCACAAGAATTTTTACGAAAAATCAATATCAGATTGAACTATCAAGTTAAGGTCACAAGACTTTAATTTATAGAAATCTGCATCCCAAAATCCCACACTTCAACAAAAAAAAAATGGTTTCCAGTACACACCGAAATCAAGCATCACTGGCAGCGGTCAATGAGTGGATGAGTGACCCCTTTGATTAGCCTGCGAAAAAACAAAGGATACGGGGTATCGATCCTTGTTTAACTGTATTACATTAAGTGCTTGATTTTGAGTGCAGGTCATCAGTCTACCAAAGTGGGGAAGCCATCCCCTCTGCAGAGGATCAAAAACATGATGGTATGTTGTCGGAACATCCTCGGGGATGTTTCACAAACCATCGCCATTAGCCTCTGGTGTGACGGTTATTAAGTACTGCTACTACTAAAATGCATGAATTAGTATTTTCCTATATTTATTTAAAAACATTTTTTACAGTTATTTTTACCAAAAATAAACATCAGATTAAATAATCAATTAAAAGTACGAAATATTTATTTAAAGAAATCTGCTATCCAAGAGTGATGTTTAAAGTATATAGAAAGAAATATTTTAAGACGTCCAGGTTTCAAAAGAAATGGTTAAGACAATTCTTAAGTTTTTAAAAACAAAATACAAATTGTTTTAGAAGCAAATTAAATTACAAAGTAATGTGAGGTAAATAGTGCTAGGTAAAAAAGAATAAAAGCTTTTTTTGAGAAGAAATTAAACTTAATGTGTATAGGTAAATAATTATGAAAAAGCACTTGAAACCTAGATTTAATTTTTCAAAGTAATAATGCTCATTATTCTTAGTGCATTGATACAATTTCAAAATATTCCTCACATTCTGAGCAATAACCCTAATACGTCTACCCCTAAGCACAAAAATCCATCTCAGCATGGACTATACAAAACTATTCACCATATATAGTACGAAGAATTGAGAACTGATTAAATATCTAGGATAAATTTAAATTTTAAATTACTTATTATTTATTATTAGTTCCTTAATATTTTTTCTTATTATGTAGAAGTGACTTTACATAACTTACTTTAATTAAAGTTTTTTTTTATAAATTTAGATTACTTTTGTTATAAGCTACATCATTTCCTTAATTTCTTATACCTTTTTAAATTTGTAATTTTCATAAATATGATTTCTGTTACATTTTTGAATATCACAATTTCATTTTTACAAAGAAAAACGTTATGTAGCCATTTACTACTTTAATTTCAAATTTCACCTGCTTTTTCAAACCTCCTGGTCATAAAGTTTTCGCAAACCAGTAAGAAAATATAATCCGAATTCGTCTCCATTTGTTTCTGATGCAAAAATAAGGATGCTTCGCATGCAATTTTAAAAAAATGACCTTCTGATTGTTTTCATATACCATAATGTTAAATTTGTCAAAAACTTATGATAAGTGTATAAATTATTGTCCTAATATTAACTTATTTAATACAATAATGACGTACTTTTTTTTGCTTTAAACTGGTTTCGTGAATGTAGTTATTTATGTGTAAAGATTTCCTAAACCATTTCTAATATTGTTCCTTTTGATTGCCAAATTTAAAAAGTCCCATGCATGATTAATGTATTATGGTTAGTTTGTTTATTGAAACTTTAGTTGATATATTTGTATTTTGAGTGATTTTAAACTTGCTTTAAAATAAAATATGTAACATTTTTTTTTAAAAAAAATTAAATTTGGAATACTTTTTCAGATGAGGAGCCTGAGGAGCCTAGACTTGCGATTTTGACAAAACAACATAAAAATGCCATTCGTGCTTTGAGAAAAGTATGTAATTTTCAAGTTCAACTGATAATTTTGTGCAAATAGATAGAAAATTTTAGTTATCATAATATTAAAAAGACAAAGAATGCTAGTTATTACGATATATTAAATGCGTCTTTTCAAATGAATGTACCACCGTGCACATGTACGTGTACTCGTAAATCTGTGGAATCGAAAGTCCTGCGGTCTTTCGTTGACCGGTACCATAGGTACAGGGATCTTGAGAAATATTTCTTCCACTTCAGATCTATGTCTAAATTGAGGAAGTGGCCTGACAAAATTGTGATGGTATGTCTTCGGATTATCCTTAGGGATGTTTTCCAGACCGTCACCAATAGTCCATTGTGCAGCTCTAATGCAGCTTAAATAAAGTACTTACCTACCTCAAATGGTGGTTGGTTGGCGTCGTATCCTCTATTGAATCATATTTCAAGGTGTGCTTGAATAGTTTTTGTGATTTCTATGGCATTAAAAGAATACAAATCCTCTTCTGTGGGGTAGTTCAAGAGGTGAAGGCCTGCAGACCTCAAATGGACAAATCAAAATAAAAATAAAAAGGAACTTCTTTATTACTTTTGATTTTTGCAATCGTAACTAGTACACTGTAAGAAATTCCCGGATCAAAATAACAATAATAAGTACCGGCAATCAGAGTGCTGGTATTTTTTACCATGATATCCATTTTTACCGGATGATGTTACGGAAGAAAAAAATCTGATAAGCCATGATTTTTACATTAATAATTACCGTAAAATCACTGAATCACCGTTATTATATAAATGTTACTGAAGAAATTACGGTCTATTATTTTACGGAAAAAATGCATTTTACGGATGGAGCAACCAAAGTGCCGGTACTTTATACCGTAATTTGAGGTGGAATTTTTTACTGTGTATGTGGTGAGTAGATTGGGTTCCAGTCACCTACAAAAATACGATCTTAATGGTTTGAGGGGCTAAACTTAAATATGCTAAAATATTTGTGCAGACCATATTTTATATCATAAAATCAGACACAAAAAGATACTTTTTTCTGAACAAACATGACCTTTTCGACGAATTTGGATTTTTAATGCTCAAGATAAGCCTCGTTTTGGAGACCATGGTACCAAATATTTAAACAGGAGTGTAGTTATAAGTTTGGGCTCCTGAATGATAATTTTTTTCTCGCATCATAATGCAAAAAAAAAAACATTTTTAAACTTTCATTTCTCTAAAACTATTTGATCGACTCCGTTCAAATTTTTAGTTTCATCATTTAAAATTACATTGCTTATTTAATGAAAAAATTTGTATCCCCGATAATTCAAAAATGTCTTTCTATATAGATAAATCGTAAGGGCCTCAATACTGTAAAAATTTCCGGATAAAATTACGGTATGAAGTACCGGCACTTAGGGTGCATCATCCATAAAATCCATTTTACCGTTAAATCCATTGATACCGAAAAATATTATATAGTATTTTTTACAGTGATCTTTATTTAATTAGAGTGATTTGGTGATTTTATGGTAATTATTACTGAAAAAATTAAGGTTAATCAGATTTTTTTGATCCCTAACATGTAGCGGTAAAAAGTACTTGCATCTCGAGTGACTATACTTTTTACCGTAATTTGATAAGGATTTTTTTACAGTGCACTGCACTAGCTTAAGATTGACTCATCCTTTAACCTTGTCGTGAATAACTGTTACAAACTTACAACAGTTAAGGAAATATTTTATTATCTGAAAAGCGTTATTGGTCAAATCCTAGTATAGTTTACACGGATGGTGCGATTTTTAAAAATGCCGCCAATTCCAAAATAACGCTTTGACGCTTGTCACCATATTCCAAATTGCAAATGCAAAATGGCTAAAAAGCAATAACCCACTAAATCTCGCCAAATCAACAACTACTGATTGCGAACTTTATCGCCCATTAAACATCACCGAAGTCACCAAAACCACCGTGTGATGTGTACTAGGATCAATATAACTGATCCTCAATCGAACCATAAAAGCCCCTTGGTTTTGATAATTCAAGATGGGATACCACATTTATATACGTCAAATAATCATTGAACACAATTATTTTGCATTTTTTAAACAATATGCCTGCCTTTCTCTCTTTTAAGGAATTTGAGTAACAATTATTATGTAACGGGTCAACAATCATTCTTTTTAAAATTATTGCTTAAAAAAATATGCAGTTGAATACACCGACAGAAGTTTTTAATGAAATCCTATCTCTCATTCGAATTTATGAATACTTAAAATTACACTGTTTAAGCTTTAGAAAATTTTCATTGCAGTAAAAATGTTTTATTTAGTGAAGATCGAATGTAAGTAAAGTTTCGATAATAAAGAAGATCTTTTGAAAATTTAAGTGCCAAGGATACACTCTTCTTCATCGAAAGCTTTAGTTTCAATTCTATTTATCAAACCTGATATTGGAAGGAAATAAGGAATATTTGTTAAATATGTGAACTTATATTATATCTTTCAGTCATAAAACTCAGAATTTCCCAATTCATTCCCAGCTAAAAAAGGTCACATAAACATTAATTTGCGAATTAACAATTAATGTTAATGAAAAAGTTTTTTTCTGGTACTAATTATATCTTTTTACTAAGTAAAAGATGAAAATCCTTCTTCAAACTATTTCCTTGAATTATCTTTAATCAATTTCCTAAGAATATTTTAGTTTTATAAAAAATTATAATAATATATTAAAATTTTAAAAAAATATTTAATTAAAATTTTCTCTTAGATTTATTTTGACAGCTCATTTAGTTTTAATGCATGTTTATTAAAAAAAATTGCATTAGTAATTTAGTTGTGAAATACATTTTTTAATAATACTATTTATTTATTTAAAGAAGATAGCATTTTAATTCCCTACCAGATTAACTTAATTTTTCACTATCTGAATCAATATAATTTTTTTTTCTGATTATTTGGTGTCTAATAATGTTTTAATGAGTGCTGATATTTAAATTCTAAATAAATAATGCATTTTAAGCATTTCTTTTATCTTATTGGTTAATTCAGAAGATTTTTTAAAAAAACATACGCTGTTTTTTGGAGTAGGTTGATTGCTATTATAGCATAAAATTGAAGCACAGTGCCTAATTTAATTGCATTATGATGAAAAATAACTATTCTTAAACTTGATTATATGATATTGCGATTCAACTTACATGAAACGGTTAAAATTTAACACCTCATTGAAGTTGTACAGAGTGGCACCGTAATCATTCATGGTCACCAATATTATGGTTAAACTGTATCGAATCTGATAATATATTATTTGACATGGTTTTCCGAAGCTCTTTCACTAAGGAAAATAAAAAAGGCCGCAGTTTTAGTGCTTTACATTTAAAATAAAGCTGTAATTTTAAACTATATATACCATTTTGTGGTCAAGAATTATCTGGGCAATTGAATGGACAAATAACTAATATTTCAAAAGTTACTAAACTTTCTTAAAAATCGCCAGTTTGAAAAAAATTTCCCCCTAATTGAAAATTATCAAGATCAACTGACTTATTCTCAGTTTTTGAAAATTATGAGCTCAGATACTGCAACATTGGAGCAAAGCCTTGATGGCTTAGGGTGGTGTTTCCCAAAGTGTGGTACACTTAGCCCCAGGGGTACGGGAACAGTTTATCGGGGGTACGTGTTCTTATGCGAAATATCTTGCAACAAATGAAAATTTTTAAAAATTTTATTTATAAACAATGCTAGCCATTAAAATTTACGATCACGTATTTTTCTATTGGCTATTTTTTGCAGAGTTAACAGTTAATAATTAGTGGTGTCAATAGCCAGTTGTGATTTTCAACTTTATTCCAGATTCTAAAAATGAATGTATTTTTAAAAAAATACATTCATATTTTCATTAGCGATACACAGCGTTACGAAAAAATTAGAAAGGATACACAAAGTTCATAAGTTAGGGAAGCACTGGCTCAGCGGATAGAGCGTTCGCCTTCCAATGAGGTAAACTGGGTTTGAATCCAGACGATGGCTGGTCGATACGAATTCCGTATCTGGCTTCCACCGGTAGACGGATCATGGGTTAGAATCCCCTTGCCGTCAGGCTAACCATGGGATGTTTTAGTGGTTTTCCTCTCCATGTAACACAAATACGGGTTAGTTCGACCAAAAAGTCCTCCACGAAGGCAAATTTCTCCCAATACTTGATCCAGGAGTTCACTCGTCTATATGGATTGGGTTCAAAATTACAACACTACGGAGTTGAACATTAGTAGTCATAAACCCAAAAAAATTGGGTTGGCAGTTTAACGACGGTCATAAAATGAAATAAAAAACATTGGGGTAAGTTTTTAATTATTATAAAATTAGACGCTTTTTATTTTCATAAAACTGTGACTTGTCTCCATATTGACGTTTTGAGGCACTTAGAATAAGTATAGAAAGCGCTGGTTAGAGACTTGACCTAACAGTCATAATTGACTGTTGCAAACTCACGGTAGTTAAAAAATAGCATATTATTTGCAAAAAAATCATCGTTTCACATGACGACGAAGCCTTTATTGAACAATATCCTTAGTGAAACCATCCTTATAAACAATCATAGTTTGAAAACTCATACAACTAGGCATGTTCGTCTGAAACCTTATGCAAGTTGGTTGATGTACTAAGTTTATGCTACATCCTTACACCATTTTCATTTGAATTTATTAAAATACTTCTACTAATTATGAGAAACGCTGTGTTTAGTCATTTTTTTAAAACATATTTCCATGTGCTGTTGGGAAAAAAATCAGGCATTGCTTTTGTCACATTAGATTTTGATAAAATAATTGGAACGAAGTAAATTAAAACTTTAAAATAATTGGGTACAACTACTCATTTCTATGCCAAATCAAGCTTGTTATGCTTCCATTGTCAAAAGAATCGGAGAAAAATAAGAATTATTTCATTGAACTATTGTCCTTCGTTTAACCTCTGACCTATCCTTTTTTGATATCCTTATCCTCTTAAGTGTTTATCCCGA